GGGCAGAGTGTCACGGACTGATCTAAACCAGCCTCCTCTGTGCTCTGAAGTTTAACTTGGTCAGAATCGTATCATAGTAAAAAAGATCGAAGTCTTCATCTTGTGCCATCAGATCATTCACTAAGAAAACAACCTGTGACAAACTATGGAGAAATGAGTATATAGACTCCTGAAAGTTTTGAAAGTAGCAAGGCGTATGTAGGCAGAACTTGATTAAACCCAATTTATTTACTTGGATTACCCCTAAAACAGTTTTAGGGGCAAATTATTTTATATGGACTAATTATTACATAATTAATTCATTAATACAAAATAGACATATACAAAGTATCTGTTGAATGAACGAATAGGTTTACTTTGTTTCAGTTGATGTTAGCTATTCATCTTGGAAATTAATATGGTTAAATGATAATACAAATAATAGAGTTTTTGCCCAATACAGTTTAAATTTTTTTGTTTGTGGATTTCTGTTTATACATCTCACCTCACACATTTTAAAGTTTTGTTTAGAGACTAATATTTATGTTTCCATTTTGGCAAAAAGGCGAATAAACAAGTGGACTAAATGATCTCTAAGGACCGTTCTAACTCTAAACTTTTTTTCAGTGGACAGAGGAGACAGGTAAATACCCATTCTTGATATAAGGTAGAGGATAATATTTAAAACTAAGAGCAAACATTGCTTCTACTGGCATTTCATTAGAAGCATTTCTTCAAAGCAGAGACTAAGTCAAGAAGGCTTAATATTATACTAATAACATTCAACAGCAGTGCACAGACACGTAGACCTCTGATAATGGAAGCAATGAGAGTGTGGTATGTACTGGAAAAGAAAAGCTACAACTGTCACTATTTTGAAATAACTTTTGGTTATCTACATACAAGGTTTGAGAAAAAAGTTATTGGAAATGAAGGAATATTAATAAGGTGACTGGATATAAAGCAAATATACCAAAGTTAATAGCTCTCCCATACATTGGAAATAACCAATTGAAAATATAATAGGAATAAAAAAATCCTATTTCCAGAAACTTTAAAATGTTGGAACTTGGATGAATAAAACTGCCAAACTTTACCAAAGGACATATTGGAGACTTGAATAAATAGATATCTGTGTTTCAGTGCTGGAAAATCCATATTGTGAGACTGTCAGGTCTTCCTAAATTAGACCAAAATTCAGTGTCATTCCAAACAAAATACCAATAGGATTTTAAAAATTGAATTTGTCATGTTGATTTCAAAGTTTATCTAGAGAAGAAAGTAACATATTAATCATCACAAATATGTTTTTTAAAGATTGACAGTAAGAGAGAGTCTTGCTTTACCTAGTTTCAAAACATACCCCAAAGATATAGTAATTAAAACACTATGACGTTTGAGTAGAATGAGAAGATGCATCGGTAGAAGAGAGTAAAGAATTAAAATGGACCCAAGGATTGGTTTCTTGTTCTGCTTTCCATCCCATCCCGTTCTCCAACCACATGGACCCAGGCTCCTTGTCGATGTGAGTAGGCTGTTCTGAGATTGGGCCAGTTTACTGGGAAGTCGTGGGGAGTCATTCTCCACCCTTTACCAGCTCCTGTTTCATTTGAGCAGCTCCAGTGTATTTTATTAGACTGTGTGATTTATTCAGCTGAAGTGAGCAGAGACAGTGGCGGAAGCAACAAGCTGGCAGTATTGGGAGGCCCTTTCAAGGACCAGGATCTGGTTATCTCTTTTGTACATAAATCCTCCCCTTTTAGGATATAATATTTTGTGTGGGGCACAGACCATTCATTTCTAAACATCTCCCATACCTTCTTTTGAAGTAGTGTTAAAAAGACCTATGGGCACCAGCTAATATCATAAATGGCGGGCACCGTTGCTACGGCAGCCAGAGGTGGGATTCCTACAGTGGAGTTTTAATGAAAACCTTTAACTCTACATGGTGAAAATGTCTTCTTATACCCTCACACAAGTGGTTAAAGAAGGCAGACTTTTCTATAGTTCTGCTTATTTTCTCACTGCATTATAGAATGGATCAGAGGCAAAAATCACAGGCCATTACTGTAAAACTATAGGGAAGTAGTAATGAGTGCTTGATCAAAGTCGTGACAGTGGGTGGGTGTGAGAAAAGAGGCTTTGTTAATTGATTATAAAGGAGGAGGAGTTGTCCGCATTAGCTCATAGAAGATGGATCAGATTCCTAGCTGTGGTGGTCAGGCAGGTTTGGCAAGTTGGAGCAATTGCTAGACTTTGCTTCGGAAGGGAAGGAAGTCTGATGAGAAAGCACAGGCACCTCCAGAGCAGGGGTGGCAGCAGGAGGTGGAGGCCGAGGTCTCAGATCATGTCCGTGTTAGGTTGGAGCCACGTAATTTTCAGAATGTCAGACTGAGGCATAGCTTCAGATTATGACGCAGAAACAGCGGGAATTTGGGGCTGAGTGGTCCTGCAGTACGTTCACTGGAGACAAATCGTGGTTGATGGGAGTCACCTAGGCCCAGGGGGAATGGCCTCACAAGAAAAAGGCAAAAATGTGATTACAGGCAAAATTGGTTGTGCTGTCCTGAGTGGAAGGAAAAAACCCTGGGGTAGGTGTATGCCAGGAGACTGAGGTAGTATGTCTGATCCCTGAGCACCGTTCCAGGAGAGTGTTGCCCACTATTACTTTTGAGTTGTTCAGTGTCCCATGTCTCACCCATGAGCTTTCTAATACCCATGTGTTAGTGACTTGCCAATCCCTCTGTATTATCAGTTATTAATAGACAGCTGAGCCAGCTTGCCTTTGGTACACGTGGCTTTATGTTTCTAACCCATTGTCATCTCTGTCTTTGTTTCATTTATGAATCTTCTAAAACCATTTGTTTTCTGTTGAGTAAACCCCAGTCTGGCATTCAGAAATCATTATTCAGTTGCCAGTATCTTACCTACACTTCTCCATGAATGCAAATCCTTTGCTCCAAGAAGACCATTACTGTCTTTCAAAAATGCTGTGTAAATCTAGAAAGTTCGTATCTTTTCCTGCTGTTAAAATTTATATTTTCTTCTTGCTGAAGCTTTCTTATTAACCTCAACCTATAGTGCTTTTCTTCTATTTACTTGCACTTGACTCCTTAGCTTTCCCTGTGTTTGCACATTGTCTGTCCAGCTAGTATTTGCCCTTCTGTATAGATTGTATATTCCTTAGAGGCAGAGGACCACATCTTTCATTTCTCACACATGCCATTAAAAAATGAGAAGTAAAACTTTCTTTTGGTTTTTATTTGACTACTTGTGTAATGTTTGGAAAAGTCATAGTCTTCAGAATGGTGGAAAAGATTAATCATTCACCTAGCTTTTTATTTAATAAAATATAACTTAGAAATAAAAAATGTAGTCTCCTTCCTAAAGGTTCTTATAGATTATGTTATTATCACTCCTCAACTTATTAGCTATATAAATAATTTTAATAGTTTGTACATAAATCTGCATTCTGACTTAATAGGCAGAGTAGAAACAACAAGGATAATAAGCTTGTTGCCTTGAACAACAATTTTTTCGAATAAAAATTTTTATGAAATAGGTGAAAATATAATTTATGTATTGTTGATTGTCATGTAAATTGCTGTAAACTCCCCACGGGCAGTTTGATAGTACATACAAAAAGGTTTTGTTTGACCAATTAATTTTACTCTGAAGAATTTAGTCCAAGGAACTATTTGTGGATATTTCCAAATACTTTCAAGCTGATTATCATACCATTGTCTTGTACAGAAAAAGATTAAAAATCACCTGAACATACAAGCTTGTGGAACTGTTTCTGTTATGCTGCAACAATTACTGTGCAACATCCACAGTTACTAAACAAAATGATCTTCTCCTGGAATAGTGATGTGAGAAAGTGGCCCTGAAGTATTAAATTTAAAGAGATCAGATTACTGAATAACATGTATGATATAATCTTATTTTTGCCACAAAGAAAGCCAAACAATTCTAGCCATTTTAAAAATTCTATCTTCCAATTATATGTTATAACTACTAGAACAGTTAGTGACATAGGAAAATGGCTCTGAAATATTTATAAGTAAAAAAGTTGAGGTTATTGACCAGCAGTATGGTAAAATCCCATTTTATTTTGCCACAACTTAAATTATTTTATAAATAAAATATTTATATAAACTTTGTTTATATATAAAATTTTAAAACATCTATATTGTAAATTGTACACAATAGCTATGCATTACTCTTATGATCAGAAAAAAAATCCTTTTATTAAAAAACAAATTTGCTGTAGTTACTTAAGAGGGAAAATAAATACAAGGAAAATTATCTATAAGGAACAGTCTTAAAATGAAGGAAGATAGACTCCCCCCAATACACATACTCACCTTCCAATTCTATTATTAATAATTTTGGGTGACTCTAACAGAAGGCAAAATTCAGAATCACCATTGGTGGTGTCTATACTGCAGTGATGTAGAATTAGCAGTTGCCCTTCTAATCTAAGCAGTGCCGCTGAGTGGTTTGGAGGTCGGCATGAATGCTTAGGACCTGATTGGACTTCATAAGCAGCATATCATAGGTTCTGCTGTCTGTCCTATGGAATTTAGTGAATAGACTTCTAATCAAAAAATAAAGTGTAGAGCAGATGGTCTTCAGTATTGGTGTTTCTAGAGATACCACTGATTCCATAATTTAATGTTTTCTAAAACTGAAACTTATGAAACAAACTAAAAAAAAAAATCCAAATTCTTCCAAGTGCCAGTTTAAAACCTTCAATCATTGAACGATATTCATTATAGGATCTTTTGAACATTAATTCATTCATTTATGGATAAATATATTAGTGAATATTTTATTTATAAAATAATTAAAGTTCTTGAGATAATCATAATCATTAATGATTGATTTAAAATTTTATAGTTACAAGTAAAGTTCTTGAGGAGGCAAGAATTTACACTTTAAAAATAATGAAAAGCATTTACCTTCTCAAAGGAGGTGCTATTTCACAAGCCCAAATCTGTTTGCTCTCTCAACTTTAGGCTGCTGTTGGCAGGACAGACATGGAAGACTTAGACCTCTACGCTACATCTCGGGAGAGGCGATTTCGTTTATTTGCGTCTATAGAATGTGAAGGGCAGTTATTCATGACTCCGTATGATTTTATTTTGGCTGTTACAACAGATGAGCCCAAGTGTAAGTATACTTTTAAAATTATCTTAACAATTGTATAAGATTTTTTTCTTAGCTTTATTTTTGTTTTTTTTTCCTTAATTTTTATTAAATCATAACTGTATACATTTATGGGTACAATATGATGATTTGATATACTGTGTGGAATGCTTAAATCAGACTAATTAATACAGCCATCACCTCACTTATTTTTATGGTAAGACATTTATAATATACTTTGCTGTTTTGAAACGTGCCTTTGCATTGTGTACATTTGGTGAGATCTCTCCAGATACCCTCCCTCCACCCGCCCACCCCTGTCCCTCCTCTTTCCTCTTTCTTTCTGGACTATCTTTATGTTTAATTTGTAAAAATACGGAACAGTGTTAAGTTTTTTTAGAACAACTAATTGAGTACCAACATATTTCAAAAGATACGTGTGTTATGCTCTACTATTGTACCTGACTAGTTTCCTACAGACTCTTACTCATATCTCTTCTCTTCTCAGTAACTTTTTATTGCTGTATGGTTCTCAGTATATCAAACTTAAACACCACCTTACTCTCGATATTCTTTATAAAAGATTCATATTGTGCCTATTCATTTTTATAGCCGCCCTAAACAGAGAATTCAGAGGACTGGCTTTGATGTTAGTCCTGGGTAGGAATTCTACGAATATCTTTTCTGTGTTTGTCATAGATTTTGCAGTGTAAATATCGCTTAATTATTTCTTAACTTTCCATGCATTCTAGCAGTAGTTTGCACACTTTAGAGCGTTATATACACATTCTTGAACATCTCTTAATATCCGACTTAATAGAAGACAGCTAGGTTTTCATTTGCTTTTGTATTCAACCTATATGTTGTTTTCCACGAAGTATATGAAGAAAATCTATCTTCCAGATACAGGTAGTAAGAACAAGGAAGAGTATTTTAATAGCCTTTTCAGATAATTCTACGGATTTTTCTTTGATACTATATCACAACTTAGCCAGTAGTAGTTCAAGGTGAAAGTGTAATTAATATGAGAGGTTTCTGGCTGGCTTAAGTGGGTGGACAGAGGTATGGGTGAGGTTTGAAGAGAAAGGCACAATTTTAATTTTGGACATGATGTATTTGAAATGCCTTGGATATGTAAAAGAAAATGCAGTCAGATCTGTTTCTTTTTTCTTTTCTTTCTTTTTTTTTTTTAGAGACAAGAGTCTCACTTTTATCACCCTCCGTAGAGTGCTGTGGCATCACAGCTTACAGCAACCTCCAACTCCTGGGCTTAAGTGATTCTCTTGCCTCAGCCTCCCAAGTAGCTGGAACTACAGGCATCCCCCATAATGCCTACCTAGTTTTTGGTTGTAGTTGTCGTTGTTTGGCAGGCCCTAGGCTAGGTTTGAACCCACCAGCCCTAGTGTATGTGGCCAGCACCCTAGATGCTGAGCTATAGGCGCCCTAGCCTGGATCTGTTTCTTAATCATCATTTCAGTTCAAAGAAAAGTAATTCACTAAAAATCATTGTACCAAATAATCGGTTGCTTAACTAATATCTGCTTCAAACTGTCACACAATAAATATTTTATAAAAATTGATTTAAGATGGATAAAGGACTTAAATTTCAGGCATGAAATAATAAAAATCCTCAAAGAAAGCATAGGAAAAACACTGGAATATATCAGCCTGGGAAAAGACTTTATGAAGAAGACTACCATGGCAATTGCAATAACAACCAAAATAAACAAGTGTAATTAAACTGAAGAGCTTCTGTAGAACTAAGGAGACCACAACCAAAGCAAATAGACAGTCTACACATTGGGAAAGGATATTTCCATATTTTGAATCAGACAAAAGCTTAATAACTAAGATCTATAGAGAACTTAAATTAATCCACATGAAAAAAGCCAATAATCCCATATATCAATGGGGAAGAGAGATAAACAGTACCTTCTCTCAAGAAGACAGACAAATGGCTAGGAAACGTGAAAAAATGTTCATTATCCTTAATTATCAGAGAAATGCAAATCAAAACCACCCTGATATATCATCTAACCCTGGTGAGAATGGCCCACATCACAAAATCTCAAAACTGTACGTGCTGGCACAGATGTGGAGAGAAAGGAACACTTTTACACTGATGGTGGGACTATAAACTAATACAACCTTTTTGGAAGGAAGTGTGGAGTAACCTCAAAGAACTCAAGTTAGACCTCTCATTTGATCCTACAATCCCATTATTGGAAATCTATCCAGAAGGAAAAAATAAACTTTTATCACAAGGACGCTTGTACTAGACTGTTTATTGCAGCTCAATTTACAATTGCCAAAATGTGGAAACAGCCTAAATGCCCCCCAACCCAGGAATGGATTAACAAGCTGTGGTATATGTATACCATGGAATATTATTCAGCCATTAAAAAAATGGAGACTTCACAGCATTTGTATTAACCTGGATGGAAGTGGAACACATTATTCTTAGTAAAGCATCACAAGAATGGAGAAACATGAATCCTATGTATTCAATCTTGATTTGAGGACAGTTAATGACAGTTAATGGCACAGTGGGGGAGTAGGGAAAGGGGAGAGCAGAGAGAGAGAAGGAGGGAGAGGGTGGGGGAAAGGAAGAGCAGTGAGAGGGAAGGAGGCAGGGGCGTGGGGTCTCAGTGTGTGACATGTCTTGTACTCTCAATGAATCCCCAATTAAAATAAAAAAAAACCCACTAAATTTAGGTCCACTCCTCCAGATCTTGTCATTTATAATCATCCCCTGGGCAGAGAAAGGCAAAGAGGAGAACTTGGGTGTGGGTTATCATTCTAACTGGTTATGAGATGTTCTTTGAGAAGCTTCTAGGGATTATGAGATTGTAGTAGGCAGTAGTATTCTGGAAATAACATACACTGGCTTCTAAGAATTGATTATTAAATTTTTAGAAATATTGAGCCAGCTATCAAACACCATTGAGCCATTAATAAAATCAAACAAAGATGTGTGATGAGTGAGGAGGCACAGACCCACTGCTAGATTTTCCAACAAGTTGCACCGATGGGCCTCATGACATTAAAATTGTAGTAAAACATTGTGTTTGAAATTTTGAAGGTGTGAAGTTTGAGATCACAGATCTTTCTTCTTTTTCTTGGAGGCACAGAAATCTTCTCAGCCAGGTTCTGATCATAATTCATAAGCGGAAATAGCTTACCAAGGATAATTTCTGCATATGATTTATAAAACATGGTATAAACCCAAATTCTCTGTACATTTTACTCAGTTTAGTCCAGTGGTCCTTATATTAGAGTTAGTCTGTTCACAGCGGACAATACCTCTCAGTCATTCACTTCAAGTATATTGCTTGTTCATTTTCAACATTAAAGACTTGAACTTAGGGGAAAAAATATAAACACTTTGTGTTAGACTGGAATGATTATAGCTACTTTTTCTTCAGAAGCAGGAAGATGGCAAAAAATGAACCTTAAAATACATCCCCAATAATTTGGCAAATCAGCTATTTGCAAACTAGCTTTTTTTTTTTAATGTATCCCCACTTATTAAACAGACCAACACATATAGTTATTATAATTGAGGATACTGGATACACTTACCACCAATTTGTACCAATCAGGGTAAGCTAAGTGTGACAGTAGCAGACAACACCCAAGAATCCCAAATATGTCCATCTTTCTCTTCTGATCTCCAATGGAAATAATCATCATCATTAAAAGCTACTTTTCCTCTGTGCATTGTTGGTAATTAATGCAATATGCATGGATGACATCGCCTGGGGAAAAGGTATAGTCTAAGAACAGAGTTGAGACCTATAGTCTCAGCACTCGGGGACACGAAAGCAGAAGGATTGTTTGAATCCAGGAGTTCAGGACAAGCTTGGGCAACATGGACCCTGTCTCTACACAGAATAAGAAAACTTAACCAGGTGTAATGTGCATACCTGTACTACCAGCTACTCAGAATGCTGAGGCAGGAGGATCACTTCAGCCCAGAAGTTTTAGCTACAGTAAGCTATGATTACACTACAGTAGTGTTCCAGGTTGGGTGATAAAGTAAGACCCAGTCTCAGGGAAAAAAAATGTAACTTAATAATCAATATAAAAAATCCACATTGTACCAAATCAATTAAATAAAAATATATGGAATAGGTATGCACCAATTTGTGTTAAGGGTCTTTTCTGTGCTCTAAGAGAGATACAAAATCTGTACACTCAAGAAATAGTGTTAGAGGAGCATGTGAAATACAGGAGCAGCCACCACCAATCTAGAATGTGCTTATCTGGCGTATGATAAGTATACAGTAAACATTTTGAAAGGAGGAGATTTCTGAGTATATTAAATGGTGTTTTGTATCAAATTCTCTAATATTTTGTCCAGCTTATATTTGAGGAATTATTTGTTAAGTTATACTTTATAATTTCTTATTTTGAAAATTTTTAATTTTTTTCTAGATGTTTTCCTAGAAAAGATTGTGAAGAATTTTTCTTCATAATATATTCACTTTTTGGAAATAATTTTTGTGGTAATTCTTCAAATGGATATTTCAGAGCTATCCCTTGCAATAAAAAAAAACCAAAAACCCTAGTTGTTATTATAAACTTTTACACAGAATATTTTATAACCACAACTTTTTTAAACATTAAGAAGAATAATCACAAAAGGTCAAGATATTTGTAAAAAGTATTTTGAAAATATGGGGTTATAAAAAGAAGCATTTGCCTCAGAATAAAAAAAGGCTTAAATCAAGTACATAAAAAGTAGTGTAATGAAATTAGACAGACTAGTCTTTAAACTTTGGTTTACTGACTTTGAAAAATTGAGATTATGTTACTTAATGTTTTGTTCTTTTTTTTTTTTTTTTGGAGGCAGAGTCTCAAGCTGTTACCTTGGGTACAGTGCTGTGATGTCATAGCTCACAGCGACCTCCAACTCAGGGTTCAAGCAATCCTCTTGCCTCAGTTGTTCTATTTTAAGTAGAGAGGAGGTCTCACTCTTGCTCAGGTTGGTCTCGAACTCGTGAGCTCAAGCAATCCACCCACCTCGGCCTCCCTTTGTGCTAGGATTACAGGTGTGAGCCACCACAACTGGCCATTGTTTCTTCATTTATAAAAACAACAACACCCTCATGAAGGTTTTTTCAGGCTTAAATGGATCAATTGTACTTAGTATAGGATGTGTTACACAGTAAATAAACATTTAAGACATGTTGGTATCTTTTATCATCATCATCTGAATTCATAACCATAATTTTAAAAAAATTTAATATAATTTTATGGTGACATTCACTAGGAAAAATGGTATGCTATGTAAATATTTGCTTAATAATTATAGTTCCAATAAATGTTAATTGGGTTATATATCTGATAATTAAATTATTGGATATAATTTAGTTTTTTAAACTGGAAAATTTCTTGTTTTAGCTACTTAAACAGACCCTAAGAGGTGATTTTCTCTTATGGAAGTAAAATCAGTAGTTGATTATTTTTAGGTACCATCGAGAATCATTTTAATTTAGATTTTTGAAAATATATTGTTAAATATTTCAGAAATACAAAACATGTATTTCAAACATAATGCGCATTGACCTACAGCAGCAGTTCTCAACCTGTGGGTCACAACCCCTTTGTAACAATGAAAATACATCCTGCATTTCAGATATTTACATTACACTTCATAACAGTAGCAAAATTACAGTTATAAAGTAGCAACAAAAATAATTTTATAGTTGGGGGTCACCACAACATGAGGAACTGTATTAAAGGGTCACAGCATTAGGGGGCATTGGGAAGGTTGAGAACCACTGACCTACAACTTTAGAAATAAAATATTTCCAGTAGAATTGAAGTCCCTCTCCACCCAACTTATATTTATATACACAGTAACTTCATATGAAATAAGGAATTTAGAAAGTTAGAAAATCCTTTGAAGAACAATCTTAATGGCTCTTAGTCTTTATTAAAACAGTTAATATTATTGAACATGGTGACATTTCCGGCAGAATGAATATGTCTTTTGTGAGTAGTTCGCCATGGAAATCTTATGAACCCTACAGAACTTGAGAGTACGTCTAACTTCCTCTTTTGATGAATAGCTTCTGAACATTGCACAAGAGCTGGCACATACGCTTTTGTACCATTTATTTTTCTCTTTTTCTTACTATATTTCAAGAGCAACAAAATAATACATTTAAATTGTTCTGTTGATTGTTAAAAGGAAAGTTTCTTTGCAAAATGAGTGTGTACAGTATTAGTGAAGATTACATGTTAAATTCATATTTAATCAAGTGATTCTACTTACTTGATTATACATTTGTATAAACTATCTTGGGTAGAGGATGGATGTTGTTGCTATATATCTTTAGAAACATATTTCTTCTCTTTTGATACTGAAATTAGTGTTTAGCCTAAAAAAGAGAAAGTTACACAGCAAAAAACTGCTTTTTGTAATTTTGAATGTGATATATTGTTTCCACGGAAATTGTCCCATTACCATGTAGAAGAACAACAGGTGGTCATTAATATATTATAGTTAGCTGAAATAATATTTACCAGTTTCCTAATGCAACTGTGTTATAGGACTTACACACATATAAACCTGGAGATAATTTTTAGGCAGGCATTAGATATTTACAGCACTCAAATCTGCACCAAGGAAACAGCAATGTTGACTGCACGTTTGTGCCAACATTATAACAATGTTTGAGATCTTCAGGGATGTGTGGAAGAATCAGGAAAAAGAAGGGATCCAAGATATTTCACTCAACTGTAAGACTGCTGTTCAGAAATGGTCTTCTGCACTTTCTCTGTAACTATTCAGTTATAGGGAAGAAGAAGGAAAAACAGGACAGGAGTTTCCCTCTTTAGCTGCTCTCCCTTTCATCTCCTTTTCTCTTTGCCCCCATCCTTCTCCTTCACTCTAGAGAGACCTACCTATGAATTATATTCAGGGGTACTATTACAGCAAAGATCGTGAGTAACAACTTAAAATGGTAATTTCTGTCGGCTATTATTTGATATTATAGTAATGAATGTTTGTAAACATCACTATTTGTGCTTTCAAGCCAATAGGATGTTTAATGTGCTGTAAATTAACTTACTTGGTAAATCCAGAAAGCCCCCAGTTAAGATATTATGGTTATGGAAAAGTGTTTCCTGATCCACTGATATTTTTTATAAGCAGTATATGGTGTATTAAACAAATAGATAACATAAATAAGATCAGATCTTAGATCCAAATCTAAGGTTAGAAAAACTTTGCCTTTTGTACATAAAAGTTTGGTGATGAGCTATAGTTCTAGATAGTCAGTGGGAATGTATGGTACATGAAGTATTTATTATCTTATTATTTTATGTTTGTTTATTTTAGTTGCTAAAACATGGAAGTCACTTTCCAAACAGGTAAGTTAAAGCTCTTGGCATACATATGCATGCATATGCACAAATTTTATATATTATACAAGGATATATGTATAAAATTTTTAATATATCTAATGTAGGTTTCTAATTTTTTATTGCAAATTAAATGACCTCAAGGTGACTTTTTCCTCTAGGTTGTCAAAAGCTAAAAAGATAGAGAATTCTAAAGATTGGTGAAGATGTAGAAAAATGGTAAATCTCGTGTGAAATGTAAATTGATATGCCCACTAGCAGTGATAGTTTGATTAAAAAGGGGGGGGGGGGGAGAGGGCAGCGCCTGTGGCTCAAAGGAGTAAGGCACCAGCCCCATGTGCCGGAGGTGGCAGGTTTAAACCCAGCCCCGGCCAAAAACTGCAAAAAAAGGGTGGCGGGGGCAGAATCAAACAGCAATTGAAGTCTATGTTCTTAACTGAACATTTAAGTTAAAATTAAGAAAAAAATTGAAAAAGTAGCTAAAATAACTTGATACCTGTCTTTCCCACTTCATCCAACGTCACCATTGAAATATTCTTCATCTCTTTCTAACAATCTTTTGTTCATTTCTTCCTCTATGTAGCTCCTCTTAAGTCCAAAAGTGCTACAAAGAAAAACTTTTTATGCTGTAAAGCCAGATGGTCTTCTCTGACCTTGACTTAGGAAATCTACTTTTTCATCACGCTTCCATAAACCTATCCCTTTACAGCTGTTTAGAATTTAAACTTACTGTTTTATCTTAATTTGGTTTTCTTATATGAGTACGTACACTGCCAGTTATTAAATTCATCTGAAATTTTGAGTAGCTCTAATTGAGTTTAATGTAGCATCTTTAGCATTAATTTTGTGTTTGGACTGTGCACAAATACTGGGTTTTCTGGTTGAATGAACCACAGGCATAAAATAGGATAAATAATGCCAGATTTCAGCTCTTTTAAATGGAGAAATTTTTTTCATGGGCATTTATATCTTTTTTGATCTACTTTATAAACAAGTGGTTTACTTGTTACTCAGTAGTGTAAAACCTTCTATCACAGGAATTGAATCAGATGCTCTCAGAAACACCACCAGTTTGGAAAGGATCATCAAAGCTATTTCGAAATCTTAAAGAAAGAGGTAAATTAACCTTCGCATTTGTGTGCTTTCATATTGATGCTGTATTATTTACACATGTGTCTACTTTGTCAGACCTAAGAGATTTAAAATCATACCTTGTATGCACAGAGGAAAAACTGAAAAGAAAAACAAAGTATTACTGTTCTAGGTATAATGTTTTTCCTGGGTAGTTTAAGTGTGGTTTTTAATGTTATTTCTTTTATATATTGTCTGTATCTTTGAAATTACTTGCAACAAAATGAACTTTTAGATTTTAAAAAATTGCTTTTTGCCATATTGAAAAGCGTGTACTGCAATTACCCATAGAAAGCATTATGCACAAATGCAAGGTCTCTAAGTGTCCAGTTTTCTTCCTTCTGTTTTGTTTCCAGGGAATTGTAGATATTCCTGACCACAATCCATATGAAAAACTTTCCGGATGCAAGCTTGGCAGCTAAATTTGACTGTATTTCTTTTAAAGACAACCCTCACTGCAAAACTGTTCTGTTTCAAATTCCTCTATTATCAATATCCACATATCTAGGTTGATTCATTCATGTATTTTCTTTCTTTTTTTTTCCCTTTAGAGACAGAGTCTCACTCTTTTGCCCTTGGTAGAGTGCTGTGGCGTCACAGCTCACAGCAACCTCAAGCTCTTAGGCTTAAGCGATTCTCTTGCCTCAGCCTCCCAAGTAGCTGGGACTACAGGCACCTGCCACAATGCCCCGGCTACTTTTTGTTGAAGTTTGGAGGGGGCCAGCTTTGAACCTGCCACCCTTGGTATATGAGGCCGGTGCCCTACTGACTGACCCACAGGAACCACCCTACAATGAATTTTAATCTCATTAGAAAATACAGATTTGATCAAATATAGTCTAAGAAAAATAAATGCATTGAAGAAAGCAGTTCTTTTTAGTTAAGGGGCAGGGTTAGTCGTGCCCCAGTCCTCACGTTATGTGTGTATCTGCTTCTTTTTCCCCTACGGGAGGGAATTTATTCAGTGCCAGTAGAACTGTCTGCAGCAGAGGGAATGTTCTGTTTCTGTCTTGTCTCATGTGGCAGCCACTGCCCAAACGTGCTGGTAGGTATTTGAAATGTGGCTAATGCAAGCAACTAATTTGTAGTTTTATTTAATTTTAATTATCTTAAATTTAAATAGCTCCATTACATCTGGCAAATGGGTACCATTTGGACAGTTCAGAGCTGTATCACTCTGATTGGTTAATCAGGGTGATCCATGATCTCAGGAAATTTTAGAAACATTGGTTTAGGGGAAGCAGAGAGCAAACACAGAGAGCCTTGACTCCCCATCCCGTCCCTTCCCTCCAGAATTAACCACTGTTTTTATTTTGATGAAATTGTTCTCGGTGTGTGTTTATAAGTTGGTTCAGTTACACAAGCAGTGTAGGAATAAATAGTGTCTGTTTAACAAAAAACCACATTTAACGGCTGAATGGTATTCCATGGTATACATATACCATAGCTTGTTAATCCATTCTTGAGTTGGTGGGCATTTAGGCTATTTCTACATTTTGGAGATTATAAATTGAGCTGCAATAAATAGTCTAGTGCAAATGTCCTTATGATAAAGGATTTTTTTCCTTCTGAGTAGATGCCTAGTGATGGGTTTGCAGGATCAAATGGGAAGTCTAATTTGAGTTCTTTGAGGATTCCCATACTTCCTTCCAAAAAGGTTGTATTAGTTTGCAGTCCCACAGCAATGTCAAAGTGTTCCCTTCTCTCCACATCCACGCCAGCATCTGTAGCTTTGAGGCTTTGTGATGTGGGCCATTCTGGCTGGGATTAGGTGGTATCTCAGGGTCATTTTGATTTGCATTTCTCTGATGATCAGGGACATGAGCATTTTTTTAAATGTTTGTTAGCCATTTGTCTGTCTTCATCAGAGAAGGTTCTGTTCATATCTTTTGCCCAGTGGTAGATGGGATTGTTTACTCTTTTTTTGTTGATTAATTTGAGCTCTCTATAGTTTTAATCAACCCTCTGTAGGATTCATATCCTGCAAATATCTTCTCCCTTTCTGAAGGTCATCTTTTTCCTTTACTTGTGTCCTTACCTGTGCAGAAACTTTTCAGCTGTATTAAGTCTCATTTGTTAATTTTTATTGTTGCAATGGCCGCTGAAGTCTGTCATAAAATCTTTCCCCAGTGCAACATCGTCAAGAATTTTCTTCTAAGATTTTTATCATTTTGTGTCTTAGATTTAAATCTTTTATCCATCTTGAGGCAATTTTTGTAAGTGGTGAAAGATGTGGGTCCAGTTTCAGTCTTTTACAGTGGTTATCCAGTTCTTCAAGCACCTGCTTTTTTTTTTTTAATAGCACAGAAATTTTAAAATTAAATCTTTAGAGCTAACGAAGATTAATTTTAAAGTGAAGATGCTTATCTGTTTAAATTATTACCCAGCAAGAAAATGTTACAGTTTTTTAAAAAATTGATACGTAACATTTATGAGAACACATATTATGGAGACTTAATTTTAATGGTTAACCATAATCTATTTTGATATAGAGTTATGCAGTGCAATTTTTTAATGAATGTCTCTTAAATTTTTTTTAAATTAAATTTTCAAAAGGAACATAGTTGGCGGCATTTTTTTCATCCTCTGTTTCCTTTTTTTTCTCTTATCCTCTGTTTCTAAAGACTACACACTATTACTGTATGCTTATTTTTATGCTTATTATTTTTATTTAAATCTTTTATCTTGGATAGCCATGAATCAGAGAGTTAGTCTTATTGTTTTCCACTTTTGTAATTGCAAAGCATTAGCAATCTACAGTTCCGTCTTCAGCAGTATTTTCTCTTAAATGATATCATGGGTTTCCCTTTGTTTGCCTTCCCTGTTAGGCCACCTGGGTGACAATGTAACTTAGCAATGTAGCTCAGTAACATTGTAGCCTACCACGGTAATCACGATTAGGATTCTCACCGTTAAGTAATCCTTCTCTTGAGGGAAGTCTTGAGTTAGCTATCAAATAAAGGATGCATAGCAGTTGCTAGAATTCATTGTACCAATCAGCATCTCTTGGGAGTTCTACCAGGACAATAGATGACAGCTAGTAGATAGGACAGCAGAGACAGCAAGTCCATTTCCTCATCCTGTTTCTTTTTCCTCCTTCATTTATGCCCTTTTCAAGAGATCCCTGTGGAATCTAATTTTGTATCTTTATATCCATCTACCATTCCAGAATCTTTCTCCCATGACATTCATGGCAATCAACCAGAACTATCTGTCTGGAGGTCACAATGTTCTAGTATAAACAAAAGAAGGGAATGGATGCTTTCAGGGCTTCCTTCAAGTCTCTGACAAACTGCCAGGCAGTGACTCCTGTATCTTTGTTTTGTAACAAAGAGGGAAGCCTCAGAGAACATCAGATAAAATGGAGTTTTAAAGTTCATGATCTGGTTATTTGAGGAGTTCTTAAATCCTTTTAGCAAACAGCAGAACTATCTGATATTTAGGTAAGTATTATAGATACAGATTCCTGATTTTAATTTTCTTACTATCTACTGGGAAGGTCAGTTACCCCCTTAATTGTAGTTTGGGGTATAATATTCCAGAAGCCAGAACTCCAAGTAACAGAATCTATATTTGTGTTTACTCCAAACAAGCTCTTTTTACAGTTTGTAATTCTGGGGTTACAGAGAACTCAGGATGCAATATATAGAAAGCATAAGCCACTTAATTAAAATGACAGCTTCTTAGAGTACATTTAAAAGATGCATTGTCAAGAATAATAATTTGAAAGCAAAACAGTGGTAACAATAGAGTTTTATTTTTAAACATAATACAAAAACCAAACTTCTAAGCAAGAATGTCTAAGTGTTTTATTCCAGTGTTACTACAAAGTAATGAAGCACTTTACAGTGTTAACAATCTCTGATCTTTCTATTTATGTTAAGTTATACAATTACATAAAAACATTAAAAACTAGCAGCAAGTTTAAAAGTTAAAGGTATAAGTAAATGTTATGATTTTACTCTTTGCCAATGTGTTTGAGAGCGTTGATGAGAATTTTGTGTGGGTTTCTGCAGAGGCATGTCGAACAATTAAAGTAAAATTTATTTTGCTGCTGCTTTTATTGTGATTCTATAGTAATCGTTAGTCTCATTTAAAACAATATTTAGGAGCTCTTCTACAATTTGAACTTTACCTTGGAAGTGCGAATATTATAACCTAAGAATTTGTACCCTCATATTAATTAGAAATAAACAGTTAAAAATAAAACATATTTAGCATCTGCTTTAAATCTGTAAGCTATTTATTCATAATGTTTATTACTATTAGAATAATATTTTACTTTTAAATACATAAAGTAGTATTTTATATGTAACATAAATGATACTATTTTTCTTCTAGGTGTGATTTCTTACACAGAATATCTTTTTCTTTTATGTATTTTAACAAGTAAGTATAATCATTAAATATATTTCTGGGTACAGGTTTTTTTTTATCAGAATCTTAGAAAATAGTTTTTTCCTAAATTCTCTTACTATTCAAAATCACTTTAGGTATATTCATGAGCAAAATTTCATGTTTGAATGCCATAGAAAAATTCTAAGTATTGCATGAGCAAGAATTAAAAACATAAATATTATGGCTTATGGTATAATAATAAGATGCTAATGCACAATAGCATCTTTTTTGTTCACCTTTGAATCAGGAACAGCATCTTGTACCCAGTACCTTCTCAAAACAGAACCTCACTCAAAAGTTGGTGAATGAAGGAAAGAATGTCGCTAGTGGAACATCCACTTGTGGGGATTTGGGATGTTGGGACATCAATAAAACTGTCATTAGAAAAAGACTTAAAATACCTTGTATTTCTATGATTAGACAATTCACACCTCTGTGTCATTCTTAACTTAGTAACTTAGTATGAATGTTACATTGAATTCTGTTAAAGTAAATTGGAAGCGGGGTGTGTATGCATGCATGGGCATATGTGTTTCAAAAACTGTCTTTTGTTTTTTATTGTGGTTTTTGCCCTTGGAATTAAAATGAAATTATTAACAAAATGTTAGTGCTGAACAACAGCAAATATTGCACAGTTGGGAGTGACCTGAGGTACAATCTGGAAAGCCCCAGTAATGATGAAGTCCAGGCAGTGATGAATTCTGCCAGGACAATCAGAGTGGAAGCCAAGGAGCATCTCAAAAACTTGTTGAAAAGTTGACTTATCAGCCAGAATAATGATGAATGCAAAATTGGAAGTTAGGGCTACCTAAACCCAAATAGTGCTGGTTAGGAAAGCCACCGGCTGAGATGGGAACAGGGTACGTGGTTTAAGATGTAGGAAAAAACATAAATAGAGTGGTTTTTCCTTACTATAGAAACATTAGGATCTTTGGGTGCTGCGAGACAGCTTTTGGAGTTCAGGATTCATTTATAGATACTTTCAAGGAGTTTGAATTGAAAAATTATCAGATGTTGTTTTGATTTGAACTAAGAAAAATGTGAAAAGAATCTTAGAAAATAGTTCTTTCCTAGATTTTCTTAATTTCCTCAACCCCTGCTGGGATTCCGTAGCCCAGCAGGAGGTGGGTTACGTGATCTATGCCCCCTGTCTGTAAGTGTCTCCTGTGTACTTTTCATTATTTAACTGTGTTTTCCCTTCCAAACAATAATAGTAAGGACATTATTTCCCTATGTATTTTCAAGAGTTTTTTAAAGCTTAAAATTTGGTTATCAGGAATGGTATAAATTTGTATTTCTTTCTCAAAGAAATGGTAATGAGAGTAAGTTTAAGATCCTAAAATACATGCGAGAAATGAGCTGCATAAAGGACTGGTTTCCATTTCTTTTATTATTATTATTTCTTCTATTATTTTTTCAGAGACTGCTATTACTGGTTAAGAAAGTAGGGCTATCTGCTTCTCTAGCCAGGATCAAAACTTCACAGCAGGTGGTAGCAAGTGTACCTATGAAGGGGTCCCTGTTTAAATAGTTTACAAGTCCTCTCAAAAGAAAAGGTCCAATGTTTTGAGATAGACACGTAAAGTTCACTAAGTTCCTTTTTGAAGGAACTTTCAAGTTTTCTTCTGTTGAAATTTTCTCCTTCATCCTCTAGAAGTAAAAGAGGGATTGAACCTCATTATAAGGTTCATAAAATTAAAACAGTTCATAGCATGTGAAAGTCTGTCTTTCTCAGAAAAGCAGTTGCTCTCTGTATTTTGAAGAAATTAGAAATTACATATTCAAGCCCCTTTTAGTTTATATTTCTGTTTTGAAGCCTCTAGAAGTTTCAACATTAATATGTAATTTCTTATGCTTGACATTTATTTTCATAGGTTGTTTCAGTTATAATTTTCTCAAGAATTGGGACTTATCCGTGTGTCATATTAACTTCTTTCCCTGTTACTCTAAGGCGTCCTCAAACTACAGCAGCTGGTGGGCCACATATGACTTGCTGAGGACATTTATCTAGCCCACTGGGTGTTTTTGCCGCTGCTGCCTGTCCTGCTTAGCCACTGCCTGTTCTTTTAAACTATAGTCCTGCCCTCCAACAATCTGAGGGACAGTGAACTGGCCCCCTGTTTAAAAAGTTTGAGGGCCCTATTTCAGATGTGATGAGTTGATATTTTTCTTTTAAGCAAACCGACTTTGCATAAGAAAGAAAAGTGCTTATTTTTAGAAGAAAAGTGTCAAATTTTTCTTTCAGTGCGATGCGACAAGTATCACACAAGTACTTCTAAAGCATATTATCCTTTTATTTTTAAGTGTGCTAATATATGAAGCAGAACTATGTGTACTTGTATCTCACTTTTATTATATTTAATAAAACATGTTGCTTTAAATTTCTTGGTTAAAGAAAGTTTTTGTACAGAAGATGAATAACTGTTTGTATCTAATATAGGTTTTGTGCTTTAAAATATACTGTATAAAATTCCAGTATTTTATGAATAGTTTTTCTGCTTTTTATTTCTGACAGAACCACATGCAGGGTTTAGGATAGCTTTCAACATGTTTGACACTGATGGCAATGAGATGGTGGATAAGAAAGAGTTCTTGGTGGTATGTATGCTGTGTGCTGCGTTACATTAACAAGTCAACATTGCTTACTTTGTTGCCTTATTGGGAATACTACTGTAGAGGAAAGAGTAAACATGTATGCTTTTATTTAATAAAGAAATATACTATTCATGTATTTTGAATAATATTTATGGTATAAAATATTTACATCATTCAGTGTATGAGAATGATTATAGTTGCTTGTACATTACTTAGAAATTTGAAATGTTCATGTGTCAGGTATTTTCTCTATTGGGTAAATAGTAGGAAATTCTGAGATTATATGTACCCAGTTAACACTCAGTCCCCAGCATAGCAGCCACCCAGTCCCAGCTCCTCCATGGGAACTTCTCTTCCCTCTCAATATAGGATCCTTGATTTTCCTTTTTCTTTTTTTCTTTCACTTACTATGCCTGGGGTTCAGTCTCGTCCCCACATCTTCATTCCACTCTCCTTTCTTTGATTACAGGATAATAGTCCTGAGGTATTTCTCCTTGGCTCTTTCTCACCGGACTGGGCCGGCCTTGGGGCTGTCCCAACAGTGTTTTCTGGTGCCCACTCATTTTCCCACACTATCCCCTTCCAGAATTTTTCTCTTTTGTTTCACCCATGTATCTGTGGTATGATGCTTATTCTTCTTTTCCTCTGAAGTAGAAATGAATGTTAGTTCATCCCACAGAGTAATATGGTGTGCCCTCAGCATTTATCTTTACCTCTGTGTTTGCCTGTGCTCCCCTAGTGAAGGGAAAGGGGAGAGATGGCTCAGAAACAGCCATTTTATTTTGTACTTTTCTTTTGTACATAGCTATTGAACAGCCCTTAGAAAATCTCTTGGCTCGGCACCTGTGGCTCAAGTGGCTAAGGTGCCAGCCACATACACCTAAAATGTTGGGTTTGAATCCAGCCCGGGCCTGCCAAACAACAATGACGGCTGCAAAAAAAAAATAGCTGGGCGTTGTGGCGGGCGCCTGTGGTCCCAGCTACTTGGGAGGCTGAGGCAGGAGACTCGCTTGAGCCCAGGAGTTGGAGGTTGCTGTGAGCCTGATGTCACGGCACTCTGCCCAGGGGGATAGCTTGAGGCTCTGTCTCAAAAAAAAAAGAAAAAAGAAAATCTCTTTAAAATTTTCATATTTACTTCAGAAGCTGTATTACCGAAGAAACCTGTAACATCCTTTTCTTTAGTAGGAAAAAGAAGTGATAAAAATCCTCATCAAAAGCTAATTAGTAGCCCTTCAGAGGGAAGCAAGCAGACTCATTACTTGCACTTATGAAAAAGCTTAAACTTAGATCCACAAAACCCTTGCCCTCATTCCAGCCACTGGAGCTGGAACCTTCAGAATGGTAGAGAAGTGGGAGTTTTCAGTTTGGTTACAGCAGATAAAAGATGTGGTCCTACCATCCTAAAATGGACAAGTTTAGTTTAACAGTTTTGTTATGATGGCGTACAACCATATTTTAGGAATTTTCACGTTCCTGGGGAGTTCATTGTTTTTGTTTGTATAACGTGGATAGCAATCTCAATAATTCATTTTATTTTATGTAGCAATATTTTAAAGCAAATAAAATGTATTACCTCCTAAAATACGGAATACCGTTTACAAATGCACTTGTATATGCAGTAGACTAACTTCGGAGCTCAGTCCCATGGAAGCCGCCTGTGATGCCTTTTGTTTATCATCTCGTTGTGGAATTCGGAGGTAGAAACATCCATGAGAAGTCCTGTTTGTTTGCGCTTTGTGCTCTGGTGAGAGCTGCTCTTGCTCTGAAGCTGCATTCTGCTCTTTTCAGTTATACTGCTATCTCATACGTGATTTGTTTGTTTGTTTGTTTGTTTGTTAGCAAAGAGTTCCTGAAAGCAAGAGGTGGAGTTGACCAAGTGATTTGTAGAAGTCTAAAATCTGTGTTCTCTTGCCTGTTTATAAAGTGATTATTAACAATTCTTTTCACTAAAACGTGTGTGGAAATAATTTGTGATAATAAAGTTATTTATGTATTGTGGTCCAGGCAGTCCGAGGTTATGAATGAGATAGGTTCTGTAGGTTTGTTCTTAAGTTGAATATTTAAGTAAGTTGATAAGTTTGAGTTATATCTAAGTCAGATGTCTGTAACTTGGGGATTGCATGTATATTTTAAAATATTATTATATATCTTAGGAGACAATGTATTTTATTTGACTTTAAACTATTGTTATATAAAATAAAATGAAGAGTTGAGATAGTGTCTAAGTTTACAAACAAAAGCAATGAACTCTCCAGGAAACTAATACAGAGGCAGGTTTAGGCTTCTCTTAATAAAATGATGGGATTTTAAAGAGGAAAAACACCATTTATAATAGTAGCTAACATTTATTGAGAACTTACTGTATGGCAGGCAGTGTGCTCAATAACTACTTGTAATACAACACATATTTACTCCACAATACATTCCTATTGTGGGGAATTATCTCCATGTTCCAGATACAGAAAAAAGCCTTGGATGATGAGAGTAAGTTGCCCTAGGAGTTACACCTGCAGAGTTCGTTCATGGCTCATCTCTTTTTGTCTTTGTGTCTTAGAGATTAAGTAGAACCATAGCATTAAGTATATTTAACTTCACTGTGGGTTACCTGGGCCAAAGGATGTATTTTCTTGGGAAAAAACTGAAGTCAGAAAATTTATCGGCTCAGCGACTGTGGCTCAAGTAGCTAAGGCACCAGCCACATACACCTAAGGTGGCGGGTTTGAATCCAGCCCAGGCCCGCCAAACAACAATGACGGCTGCAACCAAAAAAAATAGCCAGGCATTGTGGCGGGCGCCTGTGGTCTCAGCTACTTGGGAGGCTGAAGCAGGAGACTCGCTTGAGCCCAGGAGTTGGAGGTTGCTGTGAGCTATGATGCCACAGCACTCTACCCAGGTGGACAACTTGAGGCTCTGTCTCAAAAAAAAAAAGAAAAGAAAATTTATCTATTTTAAATATTCTTAGTATATAAACCTAACTGTTCTTTGTGGGATATTGCTAGTACTTGATGGTAGTTATGTGCCCAGAAACTTTTGTTTGGTATTTGATTCCTGACTGATTTCTTTATTAGCTTCAGGAGATATTCAGGAAAAAAAATGAGAAGAGAGAAACGAAAGGAGATGAAGAAAAGCGAGCTTTGCTGGTAAGAAAACTTAATTGTGAGCTCAAGCGTTTTCTAGGTGAGAATTATTTATTCATGTCGAGAAAAAGTAATTAAAGTTGGCAGCTTTGGAGTTGTTCCTTTCTTGAAAGCTTTCTAAAGTTCTCATGTAGTTAAATCACTTTATGATATGCATCGATATCAATATTTATGTTAAATATTGATATTAAATATCTGTATCCATAGTCACCCTCATGAAATCATTTCCATCCATATTGTTATCTGTGAGATTTGAAGGGTATATCATGCGATAGATTAATACAGATCATTATCCATGTAAAAATTTAAAGGTGAATTGCAAAGATTTAATAATGTGAGTAAATTGAGTGGTATTAAAACAGTCTGACTGTTGAAGCAAATACAAGCAAGTGGTATTTTGTTTTCATTCTTAAAAATATATATAACAGATTCTTCTTCTGGGATGCACATTTCCATCTTATTCTGAGCTTAGAGTTAGTAAGTAACATTTCCCTCCACTTCCTACCAGTTTTCTTTTTGTTTGTCCCAAGCATTTGAGCCTGACCATAGGCCAGGTTCCCATAATAAAACCAGCAAGTACTGAGACCTGACTGTCACTACACTAGGTACTTAGCATGCATTTTCTCATTGAATTTACCCCCAAATTTTCTTATCTCTAATTATAGATGAGGAGAAGCTAAGTATCTTGTCCAAACTTACATACCTATTAAATGGCAAAGCCAAAGAATTGAACCCATTTCTGATACCTGCACTTTCATCTGCTATACCATATTTCCTCAACTGGTACTTATGTACCAGAAAACATAGTGAGTTTTGTTGGTATATAAGTGATTATTGTTCCTTTTTCAAATTAGGGCCCTGTGCAGTAGTTTAATTGCTCTCCATGGAATTCAAATAATTTAGAGAATTGTAACATTTTTTATTATTTGTAGGTGTAATTGGACATGGATTGTCTGTAACTGATAGTACCATATTTAATCTGAATATATTTATTAAGTATGTATATATACTTAGTTGTATAAAAGCACATAATCAGAATTATTTTGTTTCATAGGATATTCGAGTACAATATAATTATGAGTAGTTGAACTTCCCCCAGTACACTGTTGACAAAGTTTATGGAAGACAGTCTTTAAAAAATCAAAGAGCTGATTATAATTTAGCCAAGTATTAAAAGGGGCATTAGTAGTTCTCTATTTAATTCAGGTCTCATGGTTTTTAAATTTTAACTAATAAATCCTATATGAATAGCCCCATAAATGCAACTGCTTATATTACGAACAAGAGTAGAGAATTAACAAGCGATTATTAACAAGACTTAGAAATGGAATGCCTTCTTAAATTTTAGTTCCTGTAGTAATATACAGAAAGAGTAAACAGATATTTTAATTTTGATAGGTTACATCTCACAGACTATAATTCAGTAGGCAAGTTGTTAATAAAATATCATATAAGGAGGTTGAATTATGTTAATAAATCCATTGATAAAACAAGAGAGTAGGTAGCATTTCATTGAATAGAAATTTAATTGTTTTGTTTATTTATACTACTTCCAGAGAGGACTTACTGATCTTTCAGTAAAAAATCTGAGACTATTTTAATCATTAACATTTACTGAAACACATCCATCAAGTTACAAAGGGAAAGAGGAAAGGGAGAAATCATAGCAGACAACGCAGCCTGGGAAAATCTACAGTGTAAGCACAAAGCTTGGGTCTGAGCTTCATAGCAGCCAAGGTAAAGGAAATTTAATGTTGATTTAATGGAAGTATTTCATACTAGTGTTGTAGTAAAATTTCATTAACTTGAATTAATTAGGGGAGGCCTATCTGAATTACACCAGAATACCCTGAATTTTATTATTTTATATGCATATGGGTCAAGGAAGCTCTCCTTAGCAAACATACGAGAAAGGTAGTTGTTTTAAAGAACAGTAAAAATAATTTATAAGTAATGGATAATTTGTTTATATGTTAAAAAATACTTAATGAAAGTCATTGATCTCCACAGGTGGGTACCTCAGAGGTATTTATCTTTATAAATAATTTATTTAATTAGTGCAATTTATTTAAATAGTGTTCCTGAAATCTCACTTATATAATTTAGCTATCAGAACTATTCCTTAAAGAAATTCAGAAATAATCTTTAGTACAGCCCCTAAACTAACAGCCCTCTGGAGTAATACAGCTTTCTCATTACTTCTTAACAATAATAATAATTAGTGTTAACTTATTAATAGTCACATTTAATAGAAGTCTGAACTGAGATTTTATTTTTTATCACTTTAGTTATACAAGGTGGTGCTTTCAGGGTAATAGAAAAGACTATATGATTCTATATATTCTTAGAATATTTTGGTAGAATTAAAGCAATTAAAATTTAACTTATTACATAAGAGAGACATAGCACAGTTTCAAGAGGCAGATTTGGGGGATTGGAATATTAGCCCAGCCACTCATTACCTGGGTGACCTTGAATGATAACCTTAACCCCTGTGTGCCTCATTGTTTTTCATTTGTACAATGGGGATATTAGAGGTGGTGATCACATGTGACTTAAAAGGATTAAAACCCATAGCCACTTATTAGTATTTAAAATATAATAAACATTCAAAAAGGTTGGCTAATGGTGAACCTTAAAGTTCTCCTTAAATTAGTAGAACCAGATAGCTACTTTAAACTGAATATTAACATCCCCAAATCAAGATTAAGTCAAAACCAAACTTAAAAATACTTGCTGAAATACAGCTGTGTTTCAGAAGAAAAGGAGGAAATGAACATAATATTTCTTGGGACATTTCTTATGTTCTAATCTGTGCTACGTTCATTGTAAATGTTACTCCTGTTCAGTCTTCCTTCCAGTTCTCCCAGGTAAGTACAGTATCCGTTCTGCAGATGAGAAGACAGTTTTGAGAGGGGAAGTGATCTGCTTCATGTTGCAATGCTAATAACAGCAGACAGGGGGCCCCAGCAGGTTCCATCCCACTTCCACTGCCATCCTGCTGCATCTAGACTTTGCCCCATGCCATGTAGAATTGCTGAAGCATGTCTGAATAAAACTGCTTATTTAAGAGGAACTGTTGTCCTCAACGCAATAGTTCTAGTGGGTTAAAGGAGCACAGATTCATTTAATGTTTAATTAATTATATGAGATTTTAAAACTTTGCTACTCATCTTTAACATTTATCCCACTTGTGTGTGCTCTATATAGAATGCAGCATAATGATTTGCCCTTCCTAATTGATTATTTTGTCATCTTTTTCTTTTTTTCTTTTGCTATACTTGGGTTCATTCTGAAATATGACACTTCATTTGGCCCTTTGTGCTCTATGTCAGCGTCTTCAACTTTATGGATACCATTCTCCTACTAATAGTGTATGTACAATACTTTCATGTTCTTTATGTATATAGTCCTCACCTGTTATACTTGACAATGTTACTTCTTTATATAAAGTTTTGTCTGCTATTTAGAGGGGTTTGGACATTATTGACTACCACAGGTGTAATCAAGCCAAAATTTTAAGGTTTCATTTCTTGATTTATGAAAAGGCTAAAATATGTGGAGCAGTTGTATATTTGACTTTAGATTAAAGTAAGGAAAAGGTGAGTGACCAACAACTACCAATAAATGTGGTAAAATAATCTAAATGTTGTATTTCTTAGCAGTATTTGAAGGTGTATATAAATTACAGAGCAGATTGCTCCTACAGAACAAGGTATTTTAAGAACTGGTTGTCCATCTGATACATAATCTTTGCTCAGTTCTAATAAACAAGTAAATTAATGGATAGACTTTTCTTAAGTTTCAGTATTTCTTATAAATTTTTTCTAAAAATTGTTGGAAAATTTGTTGTTTGTTATTGCCTGCCTCCTTCCTCTGGTCTATACAAACATCGGGTGTAAGCTGCTACTTGATAATGTTCAATATTGTCAGTGTATCATGTTATTTATCAGAGAGGATTATGGTTTTCAGACTTTCCTCCTCTTGGAAAAATAGAGAATTTCTATGGATAAACTTCTAAATGTACATTGCTTTTCACCTTGAGCTTTCTACTTTGTTTTGTCCTTAAAAAGTCAGAATTTATTGGTTAGCCCAGCTACTAAATACCTAAGAATAAGCCATCACCATTTGAATATATAAACATGAGCAGTTCATTTAATTTCCCCCAGGATACTTCAGTGATTTAAGAGGATACATCAAATTATAGAAATTCCACCTTAGAAGCCCTTTAAATTCAGGATGACTGATTTAATACTATCCTGATGAAAGTGTTCTAGTTTGTAGTGTACAATTCTATAAGTATCTGTTTGTTGCTTTCTGTATTGGCTAGTTAATCAAAATTCCAAATGATGAAAGCTAGCTCTTAGTGTAGATTCAGCATAAAGTAAACCCAATATACTGGTTGGCCATCAAGTTTATGCATGATTTTAAATTGCACATGAACTTTATGGCCACCTGTATTTTGCCAAGTCTCATGGAATGGACTGAGAATGGGTTGGAAAACAAACCATGTCCATCAGACTCATACAACTAATTGTTCTGATCTCTTACAAGTTACATTAATTTTTTTCTGCAAAATGTACTACTGTTTTCCATTAAATAAATTATATAATTTTCTTAAAAATTTTAACAGATTCCTGATAATTATTTTAAAATTTATAAGATGAAATTCTCACAGATTATCATGCCATATGCCCCGTGAAACTTAATAAATGTTAATGCTTATGATTTTATGATTATTTTTCTAATATGTCATCATTATATGAGCCATTTTCTGTGACAGTTTTTATTTCCCTTAATCTCATAAATAATTTTCATATAGGATGATTATGTGTTTCTTTAAAAATGTATCTCAGAGTAACATTGTCAAAAGGAAATAGACCCTAATGTTTTTCTAGTTTATACTACATATATAAATTGCAGTCACTTATGCATTAAAAGAATAATATTGAGAAGCAGATTTAAATTGCTTATTTTATTTATATTATGCTTCTTTATTTACTAGGAAAGTAAATTTATGATTTTAAATTTTATTGTGGTAATCTGTATTTTCCTTTTATTATTTTATTGAAGACAGCTTTTTTCAAATATAAATGCATATGTTAAAGTAATACAACTTGATGTCATTTTTGTCCATTATTCTCAGTCTAAAATGGATTACATGATTTTTCACATCTCCTCTATATAAGCTAACTTTATTTCCTATAGTAGAAAAAATTTATGCTATTATTTGCATAATAGAAAAAAATTTGTTCAATAAGGAATGATTACTTTCAAAGACTGCAGGCAAGCAAGCAAGAGAATTCATTTAAAATTAGAAAAAAAATCAACCTGAAAATGTATATGAAATACCACTGTTGTAAGTATCACACAGATCTGTTGGTATAATGTTTTGAATTAGCCGGCAATTATCTGCTAGTGCACAGAGTTGTAGATTAACTGACTTGATCAAATATCTAATTTGATTACAGATCACGGAGCTAAATATATCCTAAGCTATATAATTCTGGAAGAAGTTTCATCCAGAAAGGCAGAGGCCCCCTGGGCTTTTGCTATGTGGGTGGAGATTCTGTGACCTCTGTAGTAGCCTGTTCTGAAATTTAATCACTCTTATAGTAGATTGTGCCTATATTTAATCACATTATTTCCTGCTACAGTGTAAAATTGAGCACATGCTTTTGATTCATTAGGACAGTTGTTACTTTGTAGCCTTTCCTGTTCTAAATCATTTTATATTTATCATAATTCTTTGCTTTCATCTTTGCAGAGTGATGAATGGAATTGTAAAAAAAGTCAAAAAAATAAATAATGCAAAAGTCAAGTATATTTGACTTTGGAGTGCCTTATAGGGCTTTTTTAGATTATTCTTAATTACCCCAATTCTGTCACCATCAGACATTGTACCAAGTTTTATACCAATTCTTTGACATGTGCTTAGACTTGTTTTATGGATTACAAAATTTTAATTATCATAAATGCTCTATATTTGAAAAGAATATGTGTTCTCCAGTTTGGGGCGGACACACATTCAGAGTTGTGTGTGTGTGTGTGTATGTGTATATATATTTCAACTATATATATTAAATATATATTACCAAGCATGATAATTTTGTGTTCACATCTGTCATTATTAATGTTTTTGCCTGCTTGATCTGTCTATTAGTATGTTAAATTACATATTACGGTGATACATTTGTTAATTTCTACTTATAATTTTCTTAATTTCTGTTTTAGAGATTTTAAATCATTGCTATTACCTATATGAGAATTTAGGTTATATTACCTAAGTGAATTGAATCTTCTATTATATACTATCCCTAGATTGCTAAAAATGTTTTTTGCCTTAAAATCTATTTTGCTGATCAGGATACATATGCCACCTTTATTTTAATAATATTTTTGGTTATTTTCCATGTTTTGATTTTCTGGGGTTTTTTTTTGTGGTGATGGTGAGGTTTTCCCTGATTTCTAAACTGTGTTTTTAGTTCAGAAATTTACTACAAAGTGCAAATGTAAAACCAAATAATTATAAAAATTTAACTACCATATAGATCAAGAAATAAAACGCTGCCATTCAACAAGATACCCTTTGTTATGTGTCCCTGATCCTAATCCCTGGAGGTCCCCTAGACAATAACCATGATCGTGAGTCCCTGCTTTGCTTCACTTTGTGGTTTTCCCACTCACTTCCACATTCTAGACAATTTGGCTTTGTTTGACCCATTTCTGTACATCATACACAGGGAATCACAGTACATGAATGTCCCTGTGGCTTTCCCTCCTTGGCACAGCGTTCTGATCATCCGTTTCATCTTCACTGTGGTCTGTGGTCCTGATTTATTCACTTTTTTGCTGTGAGCAGCAGTTCTCCAACATTTTGGTCTTACCATGTTGAGGATGCAAAAGAGATTTTGTTTATGTGGACTATATGTATTTACCAATTAGAAATTAAAATGAAATTTTTAAATGTTAATCCATTTTAAATAACAATAAAAACTTAGTACACATTAACAAACCCTTTTTTATGAAAAACTATCAGAACTGTAGGGAGTAGAGTGGTATTGTTTCATCTGCTTTGCAGATCTCTTTAACGTCTGGCTTATTAGATGACAGCTGGTTTCTCATGGCTGTTTTTGCATTCCGTCTGTTGTAATATGTTATTTTGGCAACAAATACTGTCAGTTGTTTGCTTTGAAATGCAGGTTCACTTGGTTGATTTTCAAAAGTTATGTATACCAGATACCGAAGTTTGAATTATCATAGGTTGTCCATTAGTTGTTCTTCCAGGTAAAAATGATGGCTCATGAATAATTGGCTAGTTCAGCTTGAAATCCAAACCGCCACACAAATCCTTGTGAAGGCGACTGTCAGGCTTCAGTAAGCTGCCGACGTGCCTTACGGAAGCGTCCATTCCATCACACCGAAGATTAAAACGGTGTGTACTCAGAGTTTAGTTTAACAAAGTTATAAGCTTTATTCTCCTTCATCAAATACATTCTTAAGTGGAATTTTTTTAAATGGTTTATGGCACTGCAGAATGTAACTATTGAATGTGATACTTTGGTCTTTGGTACCTCATTTGTACTAAGACACCGTTAGTTTTACCACCAATTGCTTTTGTACCATCAGTGGAAATGTCAACACGGAGCCAGAGGCCAATTGTGTCTTTAAGATGCTTTTAAGGAAATAGATCTTTTTTATATCTTGACCAGACTTTTCAGTTATTCTCAGCAAGAAGGGTGGTGCTAATTATTAGCCTATCATTAATAAAAGCCTGTTAGGTGTTTTGCATTCTCTCTCTTTTCTTACCTGTTGTTAGTATTATTTTTTTAACAGTACATTTTGTGAGTTGTCCTGGTTCCTTTTGATTTTGGTTGACAGTCTGTGTTTTTGTAACTAGAGGATTCAGTCAGTTTACTTTACTGTGATTACTAGTTCGAATTTCTTTCAGTCACTTTATTCTGTATGCCATTTTCTCTCTTTTTCTGCATTCTTTTGAATTGACTGAAGTTTACTTTTTCCTTTTTATTTTCCTTTGGGTTAGCAGACATTCACTGTATTTCTATTCTTTATGTTGTTATTCCTAAAATTATATTAAGTATACATAATTTAAAGTGTTATTAGGCAGCATCTTTACTCTCTTTCTCAGAAGTGGTCTTAAAATGTTTTAATGTCATTCATACCTCTCCTGACGTGAATGCTTAAAACCGTTGTGCAGCATCTACAACTGTCTTTCATTTAGTAGCACAAATTAGATTTTCAAAGTGTACATTATCACAGTTTACTTAAGATTATCTACATATTTGCCATATTTTATTCATTAATTCCCTCTTTAATCTTACATCTTCCTAAATTTCACAGTCTTTACCCACAAAATGTATATTCACGTGAGGGTGTTTTGGTGAAACAAAAACAAAAATCTGTCTTTGAAAATGTCTCCAATTTGCCCTTTTTTAAAAAAAGGTAATTTAGCTGGGTATATTATTATAGGATGACAGTTATTTAATCTTAACAAATGATATTTCACTGTCTTCTGGTTTCTATTGCTGGAACTAAAAAGTCATCTCTGAGTCTTCAGTATTTTTCTTTTGTAGTAATCTGTCTTCTTTCTGACTGCCTTTAAAATCTTTGCCTTTGGATTCTGTGGTTTTATTATAGCCTATCTCTCTGTTTTGCTTTTATCTATCATGAGATATATTGTTCTTCCCAAATATAAGGATTATTTTCTTCTGTTAATTCTTTAACAGTCACATCATATTTCTCTGAATGTCATCTCTTTCCTATTTTCTGATTATTTCTGGGGCTTTCATAGACATTTATGTTCTCTTTTATCTCTCTTAATTTCTCTTTAACCATTTCCATATTTTTATCTTTTCATCTTTCATTCTGTATTATTCTTCATATTTATCTTCTAGTTCATTAATTCTCTTTTAGCTATATAAAACTTGACATTAAGTTTCATTTGTAACATTTTTTATTTCTATTTTAACTATCCTATTATATTTTTTAGATGTAAGAAAACTTCCTACTAGTTTGCGTCATCTGAAAAATTTAATTTCTTCATTCAAGTTACTGATCATAAAATTAAATACTGGTTCTAGGAACAGAAAAATATAAGGGAATCAGTGAATATGCCATTCACATCACTGATCTATTTGCAATTTTTTCCTGCAGTTATAGTAGCTATAAGGATATTGTTCCTGCTCCCAAAGCATTATAATTTAAAAGTCAGCATGAGATTTATCTATTATCTATTTATCTATTTATCAAATAGATACATATATATAATAGATATATAGATAAACAAATATATTCAGTTACAGAAATTTGGTCATATATTCTAGCATAATATTTTCTAGAGCTAAATGACAAGTGGGAAAACTTTCTGTAGGAAGGGACTTAAAAAGCAGTATATTATGTTCTCAATGAGATTTTTTTAATTTAAAAAGTCATGTATTATCTTGGTAAATAATACAGATTATACAGATTTTAAAAATACAGAAAAGCAAAAAGAAAATTTGAAATATCCTAACCCTTCCATTCAGAGATAATAGAAGGGTTAGTATTTTAGTGTATTTTAGGGTATTTCCTTCTTTTCTTTCATGTTGCCACATTGATAATTATGGTAATACTTACATCTGTGTTACTTAAATAGTTCCTTCCAAGTTGTATTTTATTAAGATTTTTATTAAGATATGGGCAATAGGTAGAATTTTCTAGTTAATAAATAGTGAATTAAAACTTAGAAGGTCTTTGAAATAATTCCTAGATGCCTTATAATTTTTTAGTGGCACTGGGCTTATAAAAATTAAGGCCAATAACAGTTCTCTCATTACCAGCCCAGCACTCTTATGTGCATCTCACAGCATTCACCTCTCAGTAATGAAAACACCATCAGTGAGAACCTGTGAGATCTTCCTGCTAAATCTTGTCAGAGATTGTTTGACTCTTTTTGTTTATAGACAACCAAATTAGGTATGCGGTTTGACATTTTCCTGGACTTTGCTTCTTAATTTTGATATCTCCTTTCATCTAGCCAATCATGAGATAAAAGCTAGTTAGTATTCTGTCCTTGTGATAAAGATTAGAAAATACCTTATTCATTTACAATTGACATACCCACCAAATCCCAAGTAGTTTTGAGTGCTTTGATTTAAGCAGGTATATTTCTTTTTGACAGATTTTGGATAATTTAAACTTTGTTTCTCTAAAGTATGGATAAAGTCATTTTAATTCTTTGATACACTGTCAAGATGTATGGTGACTAGCAATACATTTTTAAATTAAGCAAACCAAGATTTGCTACAAAATTACCATAGTCTCTAAATTAATCTACTTTGCCCAGGAGCATATAAAATTTTACTTCATGCTTTCTTAGAAATTATATGTGTTTTAATAGAAGGACAGAGGAAAGGATTGGAGAATTTGTTTCTTACCAACAAATTTGATATTGTACTTATAAATAGTGGTTATATACCATTACACCTTTGGAAGTACGTTGGGTTTACCAGCAATGTAATATAACACTGTTGTGCACAGCAGAAAACAAAAAAGGTAAACTAATGTGTTTTCTTTTTGTTTCAAGATTGTTTAGAAGAGATTTAAAGTGTCTAAATTATCATTCTTTGTGACTGTTCTTTAGATTTCAGTTGTGTTCTTTAAAACTTCTACAGGTACTTAAAACAGATGCTGAGGAACTTGTCTCCAGAAGCTACTGGGACACACTGCGGCGCAACACCAGCCAGGCGCTCTTCTCAGACCTCGCAGAGGTATACTCAGACCCAGCCAGGGCCTCATAGTACTTGTCGTTGTGTTAATCTTGTCCTCATTTCATTTTAAAGTCGTAATGATGAAACAAAAATATATTTTCTACTTATTTTTCAGTATAGCAATAATTACTGTATGTAAACTGTGTGTCTGAATGTGTAGGCCTTGCCGATGGGGCAGGCAGGCTGCAGGTCACCGTTACTAGCCTGTATAAATGAACTTGCTTGTTGTGTGAAACATGACTTTTCACCTTAATTACGAGGAAAGGGTGTTTTTTTTTTTTACTTGAGGATAGCTTTCTAGAAATTTGAAAATAATATTTTATAGTTTGACTGACTTTTTTGACCTTACAGTTTACAGTGTTATATGAAATACAGAAATGTTTCACTGGGTGAAACTTAGCTCCCTCTTCACAGTTACATTATGTAAATTTTCTAGTATTCGTGATGAGTGGCTTCCCAAGGACAAGTGTAAGGGGCAGGGTGTGAAGGGGTGGTGGGGACAGTCAGTCAAGGAAGGGAAGAATGTCTTACCTGAAAGTAAGATTGTCAGGACATGGTGAAAATAAAAAGCAGACTGACCTCCCCTCAGGGTTCCTACTGTTTTTTGAATTTGATACAAACCAGCACTTAATTGCTGCTCTCAGGGCAGACTGCTTTCACCACCCCAGTCTTGCTGTGCTACTGTCAGTGGGATCAGTTTTGAAAGATGAGCTCTATCTTGTAGATTAACACTGTTTTGTATTTCCTATTCATAATTTTTATTATTAAAACTAAGAAATTTATTAGAGGTGGTAGTCCTACCAGAGGAGACTTTTCAGTAAATACTAAGAGATTTATTTTTCATTATCACTTTTTTTTTCCCAGAAAAGTGGGCTTCTCATTTCTTTCTTTAAACTTTAAATGTTACTTTTAAAAATTATACCTAAAAATATTTGGAGAAGCAAACTGGAACCAATTGTGACTTCTGTTGTCTGTGTATACACTATTCCTCAACTGGCATCCTTGGATGGTGGCAAATGCTCAAAAATGTTAATTTTGTCACTTTTGCTCAGTTTTAGTTTCATAAATAAAGCATTAGCCCCATGTTTAAGACACTGATGATATATAAATATGATACAATTGGAACTAATCAATCAACACTTATTTGCACATATAGAAACAACACATCAAAAACAAAGTGGGTGGGAGGGAGGAGGTGGTACCAGGTAAATTCGCACCTAACTGTCTGAGTAGGGAGCACACTGATAACTTTCACCCAAATGGTAGAAAAGCAATATATGTAACCAAAACATTTGTGCCCTCACAATATTCTTAATAAATAAATAATGTGAGATGTAATTATAACTAACAGTCATGTTTTAAATGTATGCCATGTTTGGGTATAAAGTGGCTGATTATTGTATTCACATACATTTTAGAAGTGCTTTATTTGGTAATCATTTATGTAGGTGCAGTTTAGTAGTCAGTGCTTATCATAATCATTTATGTAGTAGTCAGTGCTTCAACATAAGAGCAACTGGGAACGCTGCCTCTTATGGTCCCTACAAGCCAACTGTGGCCTGGCTTTCAGGCTCCAGATTAAGAGTCGTGTGACTGTTACCTCTCCCCATACTACTCTGCCCACTTCCCAACTCCAGACTTCCTTAATCCCAACTGACCTTGCTAAAAATCCTCACAGTTAGATAAAATCTGCTGATCAGATATTGAATTTAATTTAAATCTTGGGAGGTTGAACATCAGAAGACTACTAGCCAGGTCTTACCTTATGTCTTATTTCGACATTATTTTTGCTCTCTCATATTAGATAGAATAATAAATGAGAATTAACAATAGTTCAGTTATAACTAATGGTAATTACTTATAGGTTACTATGAGTACCAGTCTAACATAGAATTGTTTATTTCAGGATTCAAGATGTTTCAGAAAAAGGGCTTAGAAATCTATTTGTATTCGAATTTCTTTGTTATATGTTTAATGTGTAATTATTGAGATAAAGTATGTAAGTATTATGTGATTCATGGAAGACCTTTGGAAACCGTTATGGCTCTATGGGAGATATATTAGAGCTGGCTGACTTCTGCAGCTTTCCAGACCTAATTGTGCAGGTCCCTTTCCTACTCAGAATTCTGTGACCTTCCTTTGGTACTTTGAAAGTGGTCAAAATAGGAGTATTAATACCACAGAAAGTAGCAAACGTTATACAAATCAGCCCCTTTTTCCCCTGGAGAACCAGTTTGCCAGCACATAATTGTTGTCAGTCAATCCACACTGTGACCAGAAGCTGCTACATTAATGAATGAAATGACTCAGATATCATGAAAGTTACTGATGGAGAGAAGAAAGAAGAAAGAAAAAGAGGAAAAGAAAACAAAACTTACATTGTGCGCCAAAGTAAAATAATTATTTCAACATTATTTTTGCTTTCTCATATTAGATAGAATAATAAATGAGAATTAACAATAGTTCAGTTATAACTAATGGCAATTACTTATAGGTTACTATGAATACCAGTCTAACATAGAATTATTTATTTCAGGATTAAAAATGTTTCAGAAAGAGGGCTTAGAAATCTATTTGTATTCGAATTTCTTTGTTACATGTTTAATGTGTAATTATTGAGATAAAGTAATTCTCATTAACTATTGTAGGTAAAGTGGATATTAGCCTCTCATTGTATTCCAGAGCTATTTCTAATTATAGATTTTTCAATTATGGTAAAACCACATGTCTTCAATTATTGTAAAACCATGTAATGAAAATTTGAATATGCTACAGATGGTACCACTTTCTAACCAAACTCATACATGATAAATTTATAGTACAGCATGGTACGTGTATCATGTAACAGTTGAATATAATCTTGTCAATGCCAAAATTATGAACCCTGTTTTGAGTTTTGCAGATGAATTTTGAATTTTTTCCTGCTTGCTTTAAACTGTACTTATCCATAATAAACTTCAGTAGATTATTCAAAAACTGCATAAACAAAATAAAAAGAGTTTAAAGATATCCGAAATCCAGCCCTTGGGTAGAGTCGAAGATTATCATCACACTGTGATCAATAAAAATACAACAGAACCCCCATAGTTGACCACCCCCCTCCATTGACCACCTCTTTACGTTGACCTGATTTTCATACACTGGACTTGCACCACGTGTCCACATCAGTACAGCAGGCCTAGCTCCTATGTTGACCACTTCTGTATGTTGACTAGTCCATTGCAGTCCCTTGGGCAGTCAACTTACATAGGTTTCTACTGTATATTGAGAAAATGAATATCTTAAAACCGTTTTAATAGTTTGACATATTTGTATTCCATGCAGGTTTATTAACTTGTTTATTTTATTTTTGATCAAATTACTTAAAGTAGTCTTTAATAAAAACAAAGATAATAGCCTTTCATGTAAATGGCCCATGGAGTTCTTTTGTGGCTTTTTCTCCCTTTGTTATGAAAACACCGGAATTCATTTTATTTTAACAGTGAACACACTAATCAAAGAGATAAAGTCTCTATTTTTATCTCAACCTTTGGGCTATTTAAGGTACATGACACTGTTAGGGTACCAGGGACACTTCCTGGTGTAGTTTCCAGTGACTGAGCTGTACTGTGTTTCATTGAATGGTAGGAAGAGTTTTCCCATTCCAATTTTCTAATTTTTTTCCTCCAATGTCAAACTGTTTCTTATGCCTCTGTGGATCTGGATTATCTGAATAGGTACAGTACTCACCTAATAAGATTTTGATGCTAAAAGACTATAAACTAAATCTGCTCTGATCAGTGGGCATGAGACAGACCAGCTAAATGAGGTCATTACGTTAAGCCTGTGTGAATCAAAGCCATCTCATGTTAGTGTACTGTGTCTCAAGGTAAATGACATCACAAACTGGAAGAAAACATTCCTTAATTATGTTATCTGAGTTCACTAATTTTTGGTGTTCCAGTAACTTTTCACTTTAAAGCTTTTCTTTTTCAGATCTATATAACATAGCATAAAAGTAAAAATGTACCCTATAAAAATATTTTTTCCATTAAGCTTCAACATTATTACCTTTTCTATGTTGACTAGTCCTTTTTCAACTTCCTGAAATGTATTAATTTTGCAAAAGCAAATAATATGTAACATGTATTGAGCATTTACAAGATGCTAGTCAAGTGATTTTACACGTGTATCTAATCCTTACTGCAACCCTTTTGGATAGGTACTATTATTATTCCTGAAGATAATAACATCCTCAGAGATATTAACTTCCCCAAGATCACTTATTTAAGTGATGAGAAGTATCAGGATTCCAAGCCAGCAGTCTGACTCTTGAACCCATCATTTTATTTGCTCACCACAATGCTGCTTATTTGTGAAGTAAGCTGCTTTTTCAAAAACACCACCCCTACCTTTCATTCACTTTGTCCCCTTTCCTCCCGCCCCATTCCTCTAGTCCAGACACCCCAGTTTTTTATGTTGGTAGGCTGGTGCTTCTATTCTTATGTTCTACTTAGGCATGAAATACCCTGTGAAATCCTTCCTCCCCCTACTGATTTAAACTGTTTAAGATGATAAACTGACTAGAGTATTCTAAATCACAAAAGAGTATCTATAATTAATATCAGATGTCTTTCCCCCAAAAGTTATTTGCATGTTATGACTGCTAGTAACTACATTTGTATGTTTTATTGGCATAATGTATTTTAAATTTTTCCTAAAAATTGTTAGAATTTTTTTTGCAATTTGGGATTGGAAACATCTTAAAATATAGCATCTTTAAAATATTTTGAAGATAAAGATCCGTTTCATTCCACGTTCTGTTATTAAAATTTGAATTTCAGTTACCTTGTAATTACACAAGATAGCCTGCTTTTTCATTCTGATGTTAACATATTTATATTCTTGATATTTATATGTCGATAATAAAAGTCTTTGAGGGATATTGGGCATGCCTATTTTGTTTCTTTTATTGGAGTTAACTTTTAAATTATGATTTTTTTAAGCGTGCTGATGACATCACAAGTTTAGTAACTGATACTACACTTCTTGTACACTTTTTTGGAAAGAAAGGAAAAGCTGAGCTCAACTTTGAAGATTTTTATAAGTAAGCCTAATTTTTATATTTTCATTGATAATTGTTAACATGCTAAAATTAGAAAGATCTTCAGAAACTGCCTGGTGCAGTGATACTCCCCTCTTTGCTACTTTGATCTTAATTGAAAATCCTCTGTGTAATAATTACCCACTTCCTAACTTATAATAGGAAATTACTGAATGGTTTTGTTTTGTTTTTTTTTTAAGTATGGGTATCTGGATTGATTGTTGTCTTCTATACATTCAGAAAAAGTATATTGCCAATCCCTCACTTTGAATAAGCCACAATAATAATTATAAGCACTTCAAGTATCATTACTACTCTGCAAGGTACTTTTGTTATACCCATTTTACAGAGGAGGAAACCAGTGGCCTGAGGGGCTGAATTATTTACCCCAAGTACTGCAGTCAGGAAGTGCTAACACGCCTCACATCTTGTGCTCTTTCTCTTTCCCATTTACAGAAAGAGATTTTATGAATCTTTGTGTCCCCATGTTATTATTTTCATACACCCTTTTATAGGACAGCGAATATTTGATGATTTTCTGTTACCATTACTCTTCATTTTCTTGCTCATTCTTTATTATATTTTTGTCATAGATTCATGGATAACCTGCAAACAGAAGTTCTAGAAATAGAATTTCTTTCTTACTCTAATGGAATGAACACCATCAGTGAAGAAGATTTTGCGCATATTCTTTTACGATATACAAATGTGGAAAATACATCAGTATTTTTGGAAAATGTGCGCTACAGTATACCTGAAGAAAAGGTATCTACTCTCCTGTGTTTCTTATTATGTTATATGTGTTATTAGCTTGTCATGATACACACATTGCCCTTTTATTAGTTTTTTTGCTTCTCTGTGGATTAAAAGATAATCTTGTACATATTTTATTTTTATTTTTCCTCTGTGTCCTATGTGCTCTGGCTAAATTTTAAGAACTAATTTTAAATTCTGTGTAGATAGGCATATTTTTCTTAATGGTGCTGAAAACATTCAGGGATATTTGCAGTTGTATTCAAATTAAGAATATCACTTTTCAAGAGAATTCCACTGAACTACATGCTTTGACTACTACGTAAACATCACCTCATAAAAAGTTTATATTGACATTACTTCTGTCACACTCTGTTCCTTTCTATAACACCTTTAATAAAAGGTCATTTGAAGACTGCCATTGATGAGTGAGTGATCTTATCATCATTTGAAGTGAGGCTTTTCAAAGAGTTTGGATAGCATGAATGGTTAAGAACCTGGGACAACTGACTGTCTATTTGTTTAGTAACAAATGTGTTGTCAGCGCTTCTGGGCAGTCACATTATCTAGTGGCATTTGAACGCATCATTGCCACCAAATAGAACTGCTGTTAGAAGTCCCCTTCAAGCCTCGGGGGTCGTGGATATGTGGCCTTCTATTTGTGTTTATAGAAGGATCAGGTTAATCTATCCAAGAAGAACCTGCAAATAGTTTGACTTTGTTGAGAATGGATACACTGTGACAATATTAACAATCCTCCATGTCTCCTAAGGAAGGAGAAAAAAAGGACTTGATGCATTTGGCCATTAGTTTACATTATCTCTTAATCAGAGTTCTTTTTATCTGTTTTGTATGTTAAAGTGAGTTTTTGTAATTCACAGATAATTCCATAAAAATAAATACTAGAAATGGTACTATTTTATAAAGTATCAATATATCAAGTATTATTATGTCAAGTATTATTTAAGACATTGAATCTACATTTTTTCTTTTATTAAATGGAAACTTACCAAAATCTGTAACTCAAAAGGTTAAATTCCAGGATGAAGAATGTGGCGAAACCTTTGAAGTATTTTGTACGTCTGCCTTATTCTGGCCACTGGAATTAAAGTGACAATATAAGCAAAATCATTCACTTATGGAAATCAGGTTTTGTAGAGAGACAAAATAAGTAAACAAAAAAATTACATACTTTTAGTTAACAATAAATGTTATAGAGGGAACAAGAAAAGAAGGGAGAGTGTCAGGGAGAGCTTTGCTGAAGAGGCGGCTTTGAAGGAGAGACTGAGGAGTGAGCCAGGCAAAGACAGGACAAAACATTCCAGGCAGAGGATACCAAGGATTCCAGGGCCTGGGAAAAGCTCAGATTACTTAAGCAAATGCCAAAAGACAAAGTAGGTGAACAGGAAAGTAGTAGGAGATGAGGAGGAAGAGATAGATAGATAGAGCCAGGTCTTTCAGGACCCTGTAGGAGGGTAGAGTTCAGATTTTATTCTAATCATGACTCCATGAGTGATGGAAATCACTATAGTGTTTAAACTTTAAAGTGGGGGTCAACCAACCGTACCCCTTCCTATTTTTGTAAATAAAGTTGTATTGGAACACAGCCCTTTCATTTATTAATGGCCGTCTGCTGCTGCTTTTGGAGTGTGGTGATGAAGTGAGTGGCTCCAACAGACCAGCTAACCAGATAGCCAGAAAACATGAAAATACTCTCTGGCCTTTTACAGAGAAAGTGTGCTAGCTAACCTTGTTTGAGAGCTGGGCCTGATGGTCATTCATTCTCCAAGTATTGAGTGTGAGGTTTCCGATTTCCCTACCTCTTCATCAGCACTGTTACTGTCTGCCTTTTGATTTGGTCGTCATGGGTGTGAAGCGGTATCTCATTGTGGTTTTAATTGCATTTCTCCAATAGGTAATCATAGTCAGCATCCTTTTCATGTGTTTGTCAGCCAGTTGGTGTATTTTCTTTGGAGTAGTATCTATTCAAGCTATTTGAGTTTTTTTTTTTTTTTTTTGAGACAGAGTCTCACTCTGTTGATGTAAGTAGAGTGCAGTGGCATCACAAGTCACAGCAACTTCAAACTCTTGGGGTGCAACGATTCTCTTTCCTCAGCCTCTCACGTATCTGGGACAACAGGCATCAGCTACAATGCTCAGCTATTTTTAGAGACAAGGTCTCGAACGTGTGAGCTCAGACCATCCACCCTTCTCGGCCTCCCAGAATTCTAGGACACCTTTGACTATTTTTTAAATGAGTTACCTTTTTGTTATTGCTTCATACAAATTCTTTACATAATCTGGATTCTAGACCCTTACAGATCTATCTCCCTAGTTGTTTTTACCCTTATATCAATTTGAAATTTAAAAAGGACTGTGCTTTCCCTGTACGTGGTATCGGCACTCTTAACCAAACTCAGTTGACCATACATTTCATTGCATATATTTTTGATGCTTTAAATTTTTCATTTAATCATTGTTTTATTTTTGTTAGCATGTATGCCCCCTTTTTTAAACCTTATTTTTAATAGGACAAATTCTGTTTAAGTCCCAGTGGTCCATTAGTAATGATCTAGGGGTGAGGATGGAAGGAAGAAGAAATGGCCGCTTTTCTCTGCCCCTCTCATAGATTGTCAAGAATGATTGCTTTAAGTCATCTTCATCAAAATAAATGTCCCAGGCTCAGAGCCTATGGCTCAAGTGGCTAAGGTGCCAGCCACATACACCTAAGGTGGCGGGTTCGAATCCAGCCCAGGCCCGCCAAACAACAATGACGGCTGCAACCAAAAAATGGCCGGGCGTTGTGGCGGCCCCCTGTGGTCCCAGCTACTTGGGAGGCTGAGGCAGGAGACTCACGTGAGCCCAGGAGTTGGAGGTTGCTGTGAGCTGTGATGCCATGGCACTCTACCCAGGGGGACAGCTTGAGGCTCTGTCTCAAAAAAAAAAAAAAAAAAAAAAAAAAACAAAATAAATGTCCCAGTTGCTATTTTATAGGTTTGTATTCCCAAACACAAAGTGTATAACCTACACAAAAGAATTATTCTGTGGTTTTGAATTTGACCTGTCTTTCAAACATGAGAACCATATGTAGAAAATCCTGAAAGTTTAGAAGTTACGCATTGTAATCTGTTACTTTTGAAATGTTTATTTCATGCTCCCCCCTAAAACATTGATTTTTTTTTTAATTTTACCCTTTGCTTAAAAGTACCTCGTCCTCTTATGTTTTACCAACAATAACTTGTCGCCCTGAGACAGAGACCGTTGCTGTGGCAGCATGAACGGGTACAGACCCGAGCACTGTCCAGTTTCCCTGGCAACAAGCTCTCGACATCAAGGCGCTTCCTGTCTGAGCAGCCTCCCTTACTGCTTCAGACAGCCCTCTCTAGAAAGCATGGCAGGTGCAGTCAGATCCAGGATTGGAGTAGCCATGAGTGACTGCAAGGAAGGGGGAAGCGAAACATGTGAAGAGAAAAGACAGTGAGGATGTTCATGTTGCAAGTAACATAAGAGTTGTAATTGAAGTGGAAATAGCGTATGCCAATAATTGGGTCTGGGTAATAAATCGTTTGATCAGCAGTTGGCTGTAGTTATACTCCCGTGGCTCTCCCGACCTTTGCAGCACTGCCTTGCTAGTGTCCCTCCCTCTTTACCCGTATTAAGGTCAGAATTTGTTACACCTGAGCCCTTAGCCTTCTGCTGTTTCCTCTCTGTACTTTGTCACTTACGTTAATTTTGTTGAGAACACAGAATTAAAATGCAGCTCCTTGTGTTCATATTTCTATTCTTTCAGACACGTTATTCTTATCTTAAATAGTTTTCCTAATTAACTGAAATAATAGCAAGAGTAGGAATTTCACGTTATACACATAATATTCCAGAAGAAGCCATTCTGACCACCAGTCTCTTTTCTTTTCTTTTTTTTTTTTTTTGAGTCAGCGTCTCTCTTTGTTGTCCTTAGTAGAGTGCCATGGCGTCACAGACCACAACAACCTCAAACTCTTGGGCTCAAGCAATCCTCTTGCCTCAGCCTTCAAAATAGCTGGGACTACAGGTGCCCACCCCAACACCCAGCTGGTTTTTAGAGATAGGGTCTTGCGCTTGCTCAGGCTGGTCTGGAACCCATGAGCTCACCCACCTCGGCCTCCCAGAGTGCTAGGATTACAGACGTGAGCCACCACACCCAGCCATGACCCCCAGTCCTTTACATGACCCCACACTAAGCCCCGTGCGGGGCCTCCAAAGCTGTATCTGTTGTCACCACACTTCCTCCTGCTTGTCCTGGGAGCGTCATCCTAACAGGAACAAGCACAAATACACTGGGTTGATGCTGAGTCAGCGTATTTATTTTGCATTGTCATGATAAAGACATTAGATCCGATGCTGAGTCACGCTGAAGGAGGACGTGTGCCGGAGAATCTGTTCTCAGCGACTTCCCTCTGTTTCTAAAATCCTTTATCTTCATATTTACTTGCATGGTATAAAAAAATCAGGCCTAAAATAGATGGTTTTCAACATAGAAACTTTCTATTCATTTTTATTGTAGCATTTTTTGACCTTTGTGTTAATACGAAAGTGTTTTTAGAATATTTTACTTACTATTGGTAATGGTAGCGACACTCCAGGGGAAATATGTCTGAGGGAATTTTACAGTCCATTTGGAGAAAGAAGCTTTTGAAATATGCCCTGGGTATGTTTACTTACAAGACATATCGCTATTATCTGTTTATTTCTCTTAAGTGTAGATACTTATTTTAAGAAATCTTATAATACTAACTATATTAACATTTATCTTCCCAATATAGGGCATCACATTTGATGAATTCAGGTCATTTTTCCAGTTTTTGAACAACCTAGAAGACTTTGCAATAGCCCTGAACATGTATAACTTTGCAAGTCGTTCTATAGGACAAGGTAAGTAATCATCTTTCAAAAATTAGTCTGGGTACAGTGGCTCACACCTGTAATCTTAGCACTTTGGGAGGCCAAAGCAGGAGAATCACTTGAGGCCAGGAATGTGACACCAACCTGAGCAACACAGTGAAACCCTATCTCTACAAAAAATAGAAAAATTAGCCAGGGGCAATGGCAGGCACCTGTAGTGCCAGCTACTCAGAAGTCTGAGACAGGAGGATCACTTGAGCCCAAAATTTTGAGGTTACAGTGAGCTATGGTGACACCGTTGCACTCTAACCTGGGCAACAGGGCAAGACCCTATCTCAAAAAAAAAAAACAAAAAATTAAGAGCAAAAAATAATCCTACATTGTTCCTAGAAACTTTGGTAATATATCTTATCACCCACCAGCTTGCCTGTCTAGATATTCATATTGGCACTTTCTCAACCCATTTTAGTGTTTCCAAATCAAAACCTTTGGGAGCCCTGCCTTTATAGACCAGCCTGTACTACCTTTATAAACATAATCAACCTTTTTTTTTTTTAGAGACACTTACTTTGTCACCCTTGGTAGAGTGCTGTGGCATCACAGCTCACAGCAACCTCCAACTCTTGGGCTTAGGTGATTCTCTTGCCTCAGCCTCCCGAGTAGCTGGGACCACAGGTGCCCGCCACAGTGCCTGGCTAATTTTTGTTGCAGTTTGTCTGGGGTCGGGTTCGAACCTGCCACCCTCAGTATATGAGGCTGGCGCCCTACTCACCAAGCCACAGGTGCCACCCAACATAATCAACCATTTTTAAAAAATTAAAAGCAAATGAATCTTTGTAAGAGTAGAATATAAACATCTTAACACAATAACTAAGAAAATGACATAAAGGCTATATTAACCAGTTTGATGAAAATATTTCAAATTGTATATGAAAACACCACACTGTACTCCACGATTGCATTAATGTACACAGCTATCATTTAATAAAAAAATTAAAAGCAAAAAATAATCCTACATTGTTTCTAGAAACTTTGGTAATATGTCTTATCACAATCTGTATCTGCTCACTTGGTTCTGAATGGTAAGTTGTTCTTTTGCTTTGTGGAACTGAGAAATGAAAAAAGCTGACTTGTCACTTACCTTGCAGCTGCTAGGAATACATCCATCCCTTTCTTTTCTTTTGCCACTACTAGGATCTTTATTCAAAATATCACCTTTTAGAAAGACCATTGCAGTGACTACCAAAATGGCATTCCTAGTGCTAGCTGCTTTTCTCACCAGTGTTTCCGAGACAACTCACAGAATAATCTGTCTAAAACACAAATTAATCTTCCATTCTTCAGAAAACGATTAAGTTTTCCATTTCCCATTGAAGAGCGTACAGATTCCTCACCTTAGAATCCCTATGCAGAGCTTCCTACAAACCGTTTCTGTCCGTCCCCTGGCTCTACCCAAAGCAGCTCTTCACTGTTTTCTGAATGGACGTCTCCCTGGCCTCCCCATAGACCTTGGTTCCTTCATGTCATCTCATCTGCCATTTCTCTCATCTCTGCGAGCTAAATCATCTGTCAGTCGAAGCTCAGCCCAAACACAGAATCAGTCTTTCCTAACCTCTGTTCTCTGTCCTTCTGTCCAGACAGCAGACAGAAGTACTCACTCATCTCTAAATCCTCATCATTCCTTGTTGGTACTTTTTGTGTGGCCCTGTGTAATGATTATTTGGGCAGATCTCTTATCTCCCATCTGAACTCTTATATTTCTAAGTTTGTGGACAACTAAATAACCTTTGAAATATCAGTCACTGATAACAGGTGCTCATTAAACATTCATTGATTATGAGTGTATTATTAACCTAAGATATAGCCGCTTTTCATTAAAACTGCAAAAATTAAAAACACAGCATGATTAATGAAAAGACATGTTGTATAAAGTAATGACCTATGTTTACAAAAAAACTTTTTCACAACTTTTCTAATAATTAACACAGATTATAAAATGGTTAACAGACTGTTCTTTTTCTTTTTATGTGACATTTATCTAGATGAATTTAAACGTGCCGTCTATGTAGCTACGGGACTCAAACTTTCACCACATTTAGTGAACACTGTCTTCAAGATTTTTGATGTTGACAAAGATGATCAATTAAGTTATAAGGAATTTATTGGAATTATGAAAGACAGACTCCATAGAGGATTCCGGGTAAACCTACAAATTTTAAGCATATTAATATCCTTTGTAAAATCTAGGCAGGGAAATCCATCTAAGTTAGCAACAATTTACACAAATTTTTAAAGATATAAACATCAAATACTTTATTTGAAAAGAAAAACATAAAGCTTATTTCTAAAACAATTTGAGGTAATAAAAGAAAATGCTTTTTAGAAAATATAAAATCAGTTTGACTTTAATTCTGGGGTTTAGTTAATGTCTCTATTCCATTTTGTGAGGAAAAAAATGTTGCCAAGTATTTTTCAAAAATTTAGTCCATGCATTGTCTTTTCAGACCTGTCATTTTACAAAGAAATTCCACTATTGCTCATTATAAGCAACACATTTTCTATAGGCAACTTCTACATCACTGTGTCTTCACTTATTTTTATATGGAAAAATAAGTTAAAAATGTTTTTTGTGTGTTGGACTGTTTTATCTGTTGCCTTTTTATACTGAAAGATCATTACTAGAAATTCAGTGATTTTTCCCAAGAAACATGTTTTAAAAATTGAAATATGATATGATCAGCCAGAGGTGGTTACTCTCACTTATAATCCTACCACTCTGGGAGGCTGAGGCAGGTGTATTGCTTGAACTCAGGAGAGATCAACCTGAGCAAGAGCAAGACTCCATCTCTGCTAAGAATAGATAAACCAGCCAGGTGTTGTGGTGGCACCTGTTGTCCCAGGAGTCTGAGACAAGGGGATGGCTTGAGCCCAAGAGTTTGATGTTGCTGTGAGCTATGATGCCACAACACTCTACCCAGGGCACAGAGTCTAAAATAAATATAGTATGATCAATAAATGTTTACACATCTATAATGCAGATGTGCTACAAATAGAAAGAAAAAAATCTATTAAGATTAATAGCTAGAATATTCAGTCCTCCTTATTTAGCAAGAATAGCCCCAAGTATTATACATTTCAAAAGAGAAAAGGTTATACATACAAAAAGTCAAGATTCGTATTAGACAATTTTAAAAAAAAATTTAAAATTTTTAAATTTCTGGGTGAGGATGCTGTGTACTTAACTGCCACCTAGTGGTTAGTTGCTAACATTATGATGCCATAAATACTTGAAAGGACATACATTGAAAATCATTTAATTTTCCTCAAGAATCTTAGAGTAACACAATCAAATATAAACTGTGCCAAACATCTGAAACTGTATTCTTCTCTCAGGTGTGATGTATTTTATTTCTATTTATTTATTTGCATACCTGAGGCCTCTATAACATTTTAAGTAGCACATTTCTAAAAATGTTATTTTTAGTTACCAAAAAAAGGTATATACTTATAGGGTACAATGTAATATGTATACATTATGTAATTATTATATTGAGCTATCTGTAATTATAATCTCTGTCATAGCCTATACTTTTGTTGTAGTGAGAATATGTTAAATCTACTTTCTTTAAAGCTGTTTTGAAATGTGCCACACATAGTTATTAATTATGATCACCTTGCTGTGCCTTAGATCTTGAAAAATTAATCCTCCTGTCTAAATAGAATTTTTGGATCTTCTGTTAACTTTTTCCCCCTACGCAGACCCCCAGCCTCTGTAACCACCGATGTACTCTCTACTTCTAAAGTTTGCTTTTTTTAGATTTCACATATAAGTGAAATCATGCTGTATTTGTCTTTCTGTACATTTGTATGTTTGATCCTCTATTCCACAGGGTTACAAAACAGTCCAGAAGTATCCAACTTTCAAATCCTGCCTGAAGAAAGAACTTCATAGCAGATAAGTATGTTAGCTTATGTTTGTCTAAATTTGCTTAATGCCAATAAAGAACAGGTCATAGGGCAGGGCGTGTGGCTCAAAGGAGTAGAGTGCCGGCCCCATATACTGGAGGTGGCAGGTTCAAACTCGACTCTGGCTAAAAATTGCAAAAAAAAAAAAAAAAAGAAAGAAAAGATCGTAATGTATTTTTCTGTTGTAAAATTTTAAAAAATAGCTGAAAAATTGAATTATAATTTCTAATTTAATTTTATAACATTATATAATACCTTGATTGACAAATTTTGTTAAACCTGCAGTTTTGTGTATATTCAGATACAATATAATGAATCCAAACTAGATTTTTATAATTTCATGATTCTGAAAACTTGCTACAAGTATAGCAGCTAATTTTTTACTTATTTTAGTTGTCTGGCACTCTACTATTTTCCCCCTGTGTAGTATCTCATTTAATTGTAACAGAAACTCCATTTAACAGCAGAGAAAATCAAGGTATAGCAAGTAACTTGCCTAAGATAATTTGCTAGTAGTGGCAGCCCAGGATCTGCACTTTATTCTATCTGATGACAAACTGTCTTGTTTATTATTTATTACACTATCGCCACAGAATGCAGCAGTGGAGGAAAGTACAAGAGAGATCCCTTTATCTGTGGGCAAGGTTGTAGAGAAAGGGTGACCAGAAGAAATAACTCAGACTTGTTGCTGATCTCTAAAATGAGGTGTTCATTGTTCCTTTTTTCTTTGAAAAGTGAACTGTAGGGCAGCACCTGTGGCTCAAAGGAGTAAGGCGCCGGCCCTATATGCCAGAGGTGGCAGGTTCATACCCAGCCCCCCGCCCCCAGAAAAGAAAAGTGAACTGTAGCTGTACAATTTTGGTCAGTGGGGGGTGTTGATAGTCAGGTTTCTGCAGTGGAGGTTCTGTTGTTTACTTATGAACACCTGCAGGCACAGTCAGTCATACCTGGGTCTCCTGCCGTGTTTCTCAAGCTTGATGCACAGACACTGTAAATGTCTATAGCAATGATTCCCAAAGTGCTTCCTCGGATGTCCATGCATGTTTTTGTAAACAATTTAAATGAAAAGAAAAGGAGTTTTGAGAAATACCGTGCTAGAAATGGTTAAACAAGTTTTCCCTGATGGAATTTATCAGTTGATAACGTGCTACTCTGTGCATGCTGCAGTATTCGGCATTGTGCAAAAAAGCTTTGAGATCTAGTGTTTTATGAAACTTATTGGGAAGTTTAGTCTGAAATGTTTAGAAACAAGTAGGCTTATTTGTTTAAGGTGATAACTATGGTGTTTGAGCTAACAAAAGAAGTCAAGTCTTCCTAATCTCTATTTTCAGGAACTTCCTACTGCCCTCTGAGAACTTAAACTAAATGTAAAAAAAAAAAAAAAGTAGGACCATCCATTCACATGTCCACATAGGTACTGTCCCCAATCTGGGGTATTCTCACACAAACTCTGTGGATCGTAAGTGGTGATGCACAGAGCCACAGCTAGAAATCACTGCCTTTTTCTAGACTGAGGACTAGACAAGTTACTATACAAAATAGTGAACTTTTATATTAGAGGAAATGTTTTGTGATTGTTTTTTATGTTTTATAGGAAGTATCTTTATTGGATTTCTTACTTTTTCATATTATTATCATAAGAATATTTGATGAATGCCATCACCTCTGAATGACATCCTTAGTAAATACAGCTTTTGTGTTCCTCTCTTTTTTTTTTTTTAATTAGATACTCCTAAAGCAAAGTTTAAAGGATTACTATCTGTGTGACAAATCCAAGAAGTAAGAATTTCAGAGAGTGGAAGCAGTTCTGAGAGCAGAACAAGTAGAAAATGAAGGAAAAGGTGAAATGCAATGAAATTTATATTTTTTTCTTGAACTGAATTCTTACACATGAAACAGATAAAAATGCATCTTCTTGCTGCATAATAATCAGATTGAGCTTTTCTTTTGATTTACTGAACTTTCTGCACTTTTGCATTCCCTTCAGAAGTATAGAGATACTTCCAGTGAGTATGTAAGAATGTATTTAAAATATTTTTTGTTTATTTATTAGTAATTTGCCTCATTTCAAAATTAATTTATGACTCATGGAATGTAGATCACATTTTCTTTGGTTTTGAACTGTGAACTTACATTCAGAGAATGAATCCTGCTTAAGATTTCCTTGGGCCCTTAGGATTGTTAGCAAATCTGTTCTTCACAGGTTTTTAATTGCATAGAAATAATTTTGAAAAAAAAAAAGGAAATTAAGCTACTATATAATGTGATGGTTTACAGAGTACTTTTACCTTTTAAAAGTACTTTATAACATATATTGTTTGACTTATGTGAAAAGTTTTTAAAAATTTTTGTTCATTTACCAAAGTCAACAGAGTATCTAGTATTCTTTAATAATATATAAGTAATTTAAAATGTAGATTTTTTTTTCCCAAAAAATCCAGTCACGTGCTGATGATAGAAGGAATGATAGTTGTGGTAGAGTAGTCACTGTCATTGTCATTATCTTCTTAAACATTATGCTGCTCCTGACTGCAGGTAGTAAATGTTAATAACGCTAGTGAGAATCATGTCCGAGAGCTCTGTAACTCTTGCATATTGTTATTACATGTATGTAGCATCACAGTGAGTGTTGTAGAAGACTAATAGAACATGGTTTGAAGGCCAGTGTATGTATTAGGTAGAAGCTGATATTTTGTTTTTGCAAAAGGACCACATCCAAAAGTGATGCTGAACAGCCAATGATAAAATAATCTAAACATACTTCATTTTTTTCAAAATAATATGTCTTAAAAGGGAAAATAAAAACTTTCTGTTGAATCACAACAAACTTTGATTTTTACATGGAGAAATAATTTAGTAGTACTTAATAGAAATCTGTTCAATTAAGAAAGTTTAGCTTATATAAGGATACAAAAATAGAACAATGAACTTAATATATTTGCATGTGAAAGATAAGCTCATTTATCTTCCTTTCTAAGACATATTTAATGTAAGTTATATACACTCCAACTATTACCTTGCTTTTGCATATAAAAGTAGAAAACACTGGCTTTGTTTTTATAATTTATTAAATGTGAAATTGATCTGTATCAACTTATTTATAAAAGTGATATTATTTCCAAGAAAATGTTATTAGCATTGATTTTGTATTTGTTAGACTTCTTACATTCTTTATCTGATATTATTTATTACACTGATTTAGAAATGTATGATTCATAAATGTAAGGATCCTATCTAGTATAATTTAATTTCACCTGCTTTGAAGGTTGACTAAATAATTGACTAATTGAAGACACATACTCACTTATTTAACATGCCCCAGGTCTACCTTTTTTTTCCCTGTGAACTTCATAGAGAAGTAATCCCAGACCTATTTTATCTTATACTGAATGCTCTCAATATTATTTGACATCTAAAAATCATTGAAAAAAATTCAATTTACTTTAATCCTTGACTATAAGTTATATTATCTTGCATACATGGAAAAACCAATAAATACAGATTAAAATTAAATTAGCTAATTAAAATCCTTTACAACTCTGTCCTCCCAAGAAAAGAAAGTACAGAATACTATATATGTAGTCTTTATTCTCTACTACTCATTAGAGTGAGTATATGAATATCTATTTGGAAGGGTGCAGCAATATATTAAAATGGGAATCCCATATTCTGGTCAATTAAAGTGGAAAAGAAAGTAGGAGTAAGTTACAGTGGGTCCCTTCATATTATCACTCTTGAACTTTATCATCTATACAGTGGGAGGTAAAAATAGCTCACTGGATTGTTATTTATGTCAATTTTTAAGTTCTTTGAAAATAAATAATTATTTGTATGCCGTTATTTTCAGTATTTCCTTCTACCACCTCTTCTTTGGGGCTGTTCATAAATTTCACTATCATTTCACAGAACGCTTACACGAGAAACAGTTTATGGTACTTCTCAGAGTCACTTCGTAACAAGAAATTAATTTAAGTTCCAGTTCATTATTTTATTATTGTAATTGCAAAGCAACTTGTTTGACATACTTACATTATCTTTAGATAAATATACCTGCCCTTAAATCAAGAAACACTGTTCTTTGCTTTTATCTACGTCTGGACTAATAATGGCCTTCTGAAGTTACCTACAAACTTTGGCAATCTTTATGGGTTACCAAACTTCCATTAATCTTCTACTTTCTTCTGTAGCAATACATGCCAATGAAATTTATCACATCAAAACCTGTGTAAGTAAAGTAAGTCACACAGACCCGTAATGCCTCTCAGAGTGCGTCATAGGATTTCCTACATTATAGAACTATGGTCATCCGTACTAGAAAGCTTTTCAGAAAGTTTACATGTGGCTTAATGGATTATCAATTTTGCTTAAAATAATTAAACCAAAACTACAGTAGCCCGTTTCACTAATGTGTTTTTAAGACAACACCTAGAAACTTATCAGTTTTACATAGTCATTATCCTACTTCTTATAGTCAGACAGTAAATTAACATTTGTTAAAAGCATAGTGCTTTTACTTCCAAAGGATGTAAAAATATGAATTGTGTAATGTTCAGTAAGTGTAATAAAAATTTTAAGTGTTAAGAAATCATTGTGCTTTTTTCATGTGATAATATTTTAAATCTTGCAATGTTTTATCTTAGATGCTGTGAAATAGTATTTATAATTCTTTCACAATCAGTATTTTTTGGAACACACCTTAAAAACAGGAATATACATATAACTGTGATTATATGCATATAAATATAAAATGCTCAGAAAGATAAATTTCGTCCAGTATTATGAAGGAAGAGAGATGTGCTAATGAGAAATAAAATAAATAAGAATAGAGAAAGGATGTGAATAAGGATAATTCTTTTTAACTGGGACTGGATAGACTGTCTTTGTAAAAGTAAGTTTAAAGAAATACAAATTAAATCAAAAAGACAATAATTCTTTTCACCTTCCAGATTGTAAAGAAAGAAGAGTTTTATAGTATTAGTGTTGGTGAGTCTGTGAGGCAATTTAGCACTCTCAGATATTTCTGATGAGGCTATAAGTTTGGGTGTAACATCTTTGGAGAGCAATACAGAAATATCTCAAAAATTATGACTTAGAATTTTACTTCTGGGATTATCCCAATAACGTATTTATACATTTGCATGTCAAAAAATGTATGTCTTTAATGAAATAGTATGTAATTGTGAGGAAGTAGGAGAAATACTTACGATGTTTATGTAACATGATCTGTAAGATATTTTTATAGGAATTTGGTAAAGTACAAAAGAGTGTGTACTCTCCTGCTGTCTTTATTATTTTGGAAACTCCTGCCAGAGCTCCCCATGTTCCTGTCACATCTGGAATGGTTGTTATCTAGGCCTGGCATACAGCTGTCATTGCAGCATCTCCCTTTTCTGTCTCGTGAAGATTCTATTGAGCCCTGAGGCTCCTACGTCATCCCATTTTATCTTTTCATTTTTTGGAGTAGAGCTAAATTTTCTATATTTCCTGTAAAAAAACTGTGTGGTAAATAAATTTCTGAGATCCTACATGCCAGAAAATACTATATTCTACCCTCCTGCTTGCATTAACAGTTTGTCCAAGGATGGAGAACAGATGGTGCAGTTACCAGCTTGTGAAAGCATTGCCCCATTGGCTTCCAGCTTCCAGTGTGGTTTTTTCCCCCTTCTCTGGAAGTTTAGTAGATTCTTCTTTGTCCCTACTCTTCTAAATTTTCAGTGATGTATCTTGATAAAGGTCTTTTCAACTTAAAAACTCTATATGACATGCAGATCTGAAAACTGTTTCCTTGAGAACTTCTTCCCCTCTCACTTTCTCTGTTCGGTTTTTGTAGAATTTCTGTCATTCACATGTTGACTCTCCTATACTCAGCTTGTAACTTTTCCTTTCTTCCCTGCTGTTCATCTTTTTGTCTTTTTATTGTACCTTTTAACGATTGCCTCACTCTGTCTTCCACCCATTCTCTTCTTGGGTTTTTGTACTTAGTATTTTTTTTTTAAGTTTTTTCTCTGAGTTTTCTTGTTTTATTATGTCGTGGTCTTGTTTTGTGTATTCAGTACCTTTTACTTTCTCTCTGATTATTTAATTTCAACTTTCTTTGAAGTTTTATTCTGTTCCCTTCATTGCTGCATTCCTTTTTTTCTGTTTGTGTTTTGGGTCTCTCATATTAGACATCTTTCTCAAATATCTGCCAGTCCTTTGCTGTATGTTCATTTTTTAAAAACAAACTGGGACCTCTGTGTGCATGAGATGAGTTTTTGACTGCTGGGTTTTGCTCTCACTGTTCTGGCTGGACCATTTTGACTATCAGTATTCACAGGTCTCTTCTCTTTGGTCAGATCTCTCCTTCCTAGTAACATAAAGTTGGCCGCTTTTTTGTTCAGAGCAGAGTATAGGAAAGATATCTTTAATCCCCTTTCTTCAGTATGTTACCCCCAACTTCAGGTTCTCTGTTATCTCTGTGCGTAGGATACCTCTGGTTTAACCTCTGAAGAGTTTTCTGCTGATGTGCATGGGAGGGGGAATGAGGAAGAGGCAGAGAAAAATGTAAATCTAAATGCTTCCTAAACAGAGTTTCAGTCAGTCAGACCTATTTACAGTGCAACCTTCAGAGGCCCCTGGATTCTTCCCTTCTGAAGCCTTTTAGGAATTCTGTAGTATGACTCTTGTCACTTGCAAGGTGTGTCCCTCTTGCAGGCATTTAGGTCTGTAGCCTGTAAGTTCATTACCATCTCTTTCTAAGATTTAAAAATTGTGTCCCTGAACTCTTCTCTTCTCATTCTCATATCCTTGAAAAAGGTATACTTTAAAATAAAATCCCCTTTCTGTTGTTACTTAATATGGTATCAAGAGGGAGTAGGGAGTCTAACACAATATATTTAAATTCCTTATTTGGAATATGTCTGGAAGTACTAACAGGGAACTTAAGAATGGTTACCTTTGAAGATCAGGACATAGTTATATTTAATGAACTGTTACTGAGTGGTTTGACTATTTTTTCATGTGTATGTTAATTTTTCAAGAAAAACTTAGCAACTGTGTCTGGTAAGAGTGGGAATAAACCATGAAGATCACGTCCTGGGTGGATTTAGTCACCAAATTCAGAATTACGTTACTTCTTGAAGTGAGAATAGATGGTTTTAGTAAAAATGCAATGATATTTGTGATGAGAGTCCACAAATCAGCAGCCTTCATCTATGCCAATAACAGTCAAGCTGAGAATCAAATGAGAGACACAAAACCCTTTACAGTAGCTCCTAAGAAAATGAAGTA